AAACAGAATAAAAATGGATCGTGAAATAGGAGCTAAGCCCAAAACTTAGATTTTCAAATCAAAGAGAAATTCGCTAACTAAGGAACAAAGGAATTAAAAATGACTGTCTGAAGACAAGCTACACAGAAACAGTGAATTGAGAACAGAAGTATTCATGTCATGCATTTAGTGTTGTTCACAATGCCTCCTGTAGAGTACACCAATCTTAAACAACACTTATAACTTGAAATAGTTACTTTATTTGAATCTTGTATAAATATCAAACATATCAAATATCCAGACAAGAGGGTGCTTTCGTTCTTTTGTCATGAGAGCTTTCACTTCAAAAAGATGAACGGCTGTACATATATATTTTTCCGACTTCACTGAAGCGTGAAAATAACATGCAAATCAAAGAAGAACTCTACGGAGGATGAACGAACTTTGTCGAGTTTGGTGGTAAGATCTTCATTTCTAAGCAAAGGAAGGAAGGAGGCAGTTATCGACACACAATGAGAAAAACATACCAAAGGTCAAAGGTTAAAGTATCTGTTCGAACACCAGCTCATTTCGACTTCTGATCAACCGTATACAATAAAACTTCAACAAAAATATGAGAGGAACAAACAGCATGTACTCCAGGAAGGGCGGGGGGGGGGGGGGTTCAATGTAAAATTATCTAATAGTAACATATAGTACTGAACTGGTTGCACTTGGTTTTGTCTCCTTACAGTATCAACCAAAACGTAACAGTTAAATGACAAGAACTGACATCTTGTTCCGTATGTTACTCTTCTGTGTTAAGGAAGGCTATTGTTTGTGAACATTGTAATGAGACGATAATGAATCTCTAGAAGACATTGCTATGATTGTGATAGCCTTATTCAGTGAGTTATTACCACAAACTGACCTTAAGGAGGACCACCTATCAACATGAAATGTTCCCTTCTTCATATTTATGTGGTACCCCTGACCTTTCATACAAAAATCAAGAAATTCACTGAAGTATATCATAGCGAGTCAGATAAAAAAATATATATCTGGCTGACTGATGAGAGATTTGAGGGAGATGCTCATACAAAGAAAATTTACGACCATGGTTAAAATTTGACAGATTCAATGGAAATTCTTCTTGGATTTTTTTCGTTATAATCCTTACCACAACAGCAGTTTTCTCTCAAAAACGCTTTATTGTACGTTGTTAAAAACACGTGTTGATAATCTTAGATGCGAGTTGTCATTTCTACAATAAGTATCATATTTTTATATATCTTTACGGTTGAAATGATTTTGTTCCAAATTCATTACGAACGGACACTTATCATTGCCCTCATAGACAACAAGCTGGGTATACAATCGCGAACAAGCGGACCACACAGCGAAACCTCGGGAATTCCGTATAATATTATCAAAAGATTCTCTGCTCATGTAGTACTTTTTATATACTTATCATAGGAAACCTGACCGATAATGAATGTCTAGAAATTAAAAACTGTAGAATCTTAAAAGACATTATTCCGTGAAAGCATGAAAGAGTCAGTACGCATCATCTTCAAAGGTTCACTAAATATTTATTTAAGAAGCCCGTCATCTCTATATGTGTAAGATGATTAAAAAGTATCGTTTACCAATAAATCTTTTTTTAGATCTATTTTAGAAAATCCAAAATCATTCCTGAACATACATGAAATAAATCGCAAAATCTCACACAAAGGGTGAAACTTGAAGAGTCGTTAAGCTTGTTATTTGATAAATTTCTCTCAAAGTTCCAACCTAAACCCGTATTCTGATGGTGAATACCTGGTTATTTTTTTCTCGTGTTCCAGTATGCTTTGAGGTCATATATATTTACGATAAATAGGAGTGCAACAAAGAAAGAAGATTTCTACACTGTCTACACTATAGTTGTAAATCTTGCAAAGCCTACAACAAAATGTTAACTAGTCCATTCATAAAGAAGATTTCTACACTGTCTACACTATAGTTGTAAATCTTGCAAAGCCTACAACAAAATGTTAACTAGTCCATTCATAAAGAAGGTTTCTTACGTCCAATTCTATTTTTCTTCAGTCGATCCCCAGGTTCCAACATTTGGGCTCTTAGCATTACATTCGGGTCCTAGAAGGATAAAACACCTGTATGCTGTAGTTTATCATTTGGTTCTTCTATGTCTAATTTAAATTTAAATACAGATAAATGCTGAACGGTGTCATCACCGCCCATTTATTCTCAAAATGCTGAATTACCTTGATGAGCATACCCAATATAACCCCAAAATAATACCATGTTGTCCAATTCTAAGAGTCAATCATGCTGGAATCATAACGCATGTCATCGATGAAGCAAAAGACGCATTACCCTTGCGGAACACCAGGTCTTGTCTCTGTGGTTTTTTTCCCAACAGTCACTGTGTAAAGTTTTGTTCATATTTGCATCCGTTTTGTTGATATCAAGTTTGATTAATATTATGTGAATGGTTTTTTTTATATTATTTCCGTGACCTACCATTAATTTTTTCTGATGTTAATTCATTTTGATTTTGTCGTTGCGTAGTGATTTATCTCCCTAAAACAAATTATAATGTAGCAACATTTTAACAATATCCAGATACTAAGTTCAAAAAGATATAATATATATATATAAGTATCAGAATATATATATATAAGTAACAGCCAATGATTAACAAATAACAAAACTACGTTGTAGGAATGGATATTTGTATTAGTCAAAGGGAAGTAACTGTAACACACAGTAAAACCTTACTCTGTAGATTACAGTATTAAGTCTAAAATAATCTAACGCTTTTGATATTTTAATCTTATAACAGTATCATGTATCATGTCACACAGTGACGGCTTCAGAATTTGGGGGTTTGGGGGAGGGACATGAGTGAAAAAAAATGTGGGTGGGGTGGGGGTGGGGGGGGGAACAGTTCAAATTGACTCAATAATAAATCTTGAAGAACTCAGGTATATAGGTCAATTCAAGGACCGACATCTTTCTGGATCTGCTACTAATTTGCATATAAGATACATTTGATACATGTATCTAAAATATTACTTGTAGCCATAAATAATCTGTTGATATTTTCTTTCTCTCTCCATTTCAGCGAAATTCAAGGATAATTGACTAAAAGGCATTCTATTTATATCAACATTAAATCAGAAGATATATAGCAATGGTGGAGATATCTAATTACTGATAATTTCTAATTAGTTATTTAATCATTTCAACAACATGCCTTCTTTGAGAGTCGAGGGTATTCAATATCATACACTTCTTTTTACCACTGAAGAGTTTGTAAGTAATGTAATCCCTGTAAGTTTGAGGATGGCCACAAGTAGAAATATTATCATTAAAGACCTGGATTCATTAGTCTTGGATGATATCTCCAGATCAACGAAAAAATTATTGCTATTCTTAACATCACCATAATATATATATAATATACCTATTGCATAGATAGACAAAAAATGGAATATTACACTATGAAGTTAGAAAACCAGTTTCTTGGTAGAATAATGTTATATAAAAATATGATTAACATGATTGAGAGGTCCAGCTCTCCTATGTAAATCACAGAGTGTACACACACTGATGATCAGTGTTGTTAATATGTTATCACATGTAAAAATAAGTACTACATTCAAAATGTATCCCAGTCATTATATAAGTACAAACATTATAATGAAATATCTATATGTATGGGACTGAAAATTGATTTGAAAGTTAATCACATCTATGGTTCTTTGTGAAAATTTCTCTCTCTTTTTTTTTTTTTTTTTTTTTAATCTTTTCACAATAATCTGTAATGTACAAAAGCTGAGAGCACTGATATATCACTGATCCAATATGTTTGCTGTACCAAGGACAAAGGCATTAAAATAACCACTTCATCATATGCTATTTTTGTGTAAACATGGTCCATACATAACATATCTATCACTCAGCTCTTTATTGATTAGACAAAATAAAGACTTTTTACATTATACATCAAAGACTATAATAAAGTTTAGAACAAAATCTGAGATCAAAAAAGGCTAGCACTGCTACAAGCTCATTAACTTATGATATATAAACTTTATATATGACAATTGTATGACAATTTCTATAAACTTAAATTCACCACACTTGTAGGACCCCATGCAAGGGATATTCTTATGAGAGGAAACCAGAGTACTCGCGTCAAAAATCATCTGAACAATAACTTTTCATTTCCAGAAACGTGACTTTTTTTCAAGCTTATAATTGTTTTGGAATGTACTAATATCGTAGCTGGTCTCACAACAGAATATACCGCTTTATCTACAAAAATATCAGATCCCAGTCAAACTACAACAATAAGAGTTTCAGGAAAATTAACAAGTATATATATGTATTTCTTTGTCAAAAATATCACATTTCTTTCCTCAAATCCAAAAAGGTGGAAAATTCAGTCTCTTCTTTCATTAGCAGTCACATGAAGAACACTAAAGGTAACTCAAAGTTTCGAAGGGATAATCAAGATAAAAGTAAGTATAATTTCAATATTATAATGACATCATCAAAGATGCTGGTACATACAATAATGTGTGAATACTTGAAATATAAAATGGACTTTCTTTCAATTTTACATTGGTGTAGGAGCCAGAGGAGACCTATATGAATAATCCATAGAAAATAATGTCTTATTTTTTAACATTCCCATCTTGTTCATTACATTCTTAAAAAATTTCAGTTCCTATAGTAGCAAATATTCAAGTCCCAGACTTATATATTTTTAATCACAAAACCTAGCTGTCACATTTAAATAATGTTAAGATCAGATAAATTGGGATAAAAACAGATGAAAAAAATTCATAACTTGATTCTGGATATAAATATTGGCAGAAAATTGAAAAAAAAAAAAAATATTGAAAAAAACATATTTTCCTGTATCAACACTTTGAGAACAGGCACTCTCATACATGTCCATGTTTAAACATTTATCGAAAATACTTTTACACCAATCATTAAACAGAGACTTGGAAACACAAATAACATTAAAAGTGGTCTGTCCTAATCATGTGTTTATCAGGTCTGGATAAAACGTCTTGTGCATACTTAAGGAGATTATCTTTCTGAAACCAGCTTTCTTCTATGTTATTTGACCCCACTGGCGGATAAAATGCAGCACGTCTGTGATTGTCTCTTCTAACGAAGCAGATGCGGGGATACACATACATATTCAGGGGGTCCTCACCATCTACAACATAGACAGCCATGTATTTTAAACATCCAATTCAAAAATTAAAAATCAAAAATCAAAATACAGGACAACTAGAATAATGTTATATATGTTTGGACCTCACCCATTGCAACTGTCATGGAGTAACCTTCCGGTACAAATTGGCGTGCCCAGCCACGGTAATCGTCAGCATCTACAGTGACCACTTCCAGGTTATTATACAGCTCATACGCTACTGCTGTCAGCTCCTGTAAAAATACCAAATATCCATACAATTCTGGATATTACAAGACTCAAAACATTTTTTTCATGGCTGAATATTGAAAGCTAGGTCTATCAACACAAATGTATTTATAACAAATATAAACAAAACTCACCTCACAAAAAATTTTGAAAATTACTTTTCGATACTCAGACTGAAAAAATTAAACCCACTGTTGTCTGATATATCTCACACACATGGCTAATTTACCAATTTCTCTTCACAGAGACCTGTCTACTGTACAGCATGTTCATGTGTATTTGAAGTCGCTACATTAACGATGTCTAAGAAGAGTTTTGGATCAACATTCTTTTCGATACTAATTTAAAGAGTATTAAGACCAACACTGTTTGTATCAATTGATATTCCTCATACAACATCTGTTACTTTTATATATTTTAGCATAAATTTTGAAAAATGTTTTCTTCATATTTTTCATTTCTTAAATTTTTACAAAAAAATCACATTTTTGATATTCTATATTTTCACATACATAAGAAATCATATCTCTTAGCATATTCTTATAATCTTATACATGTAACCAAAGCAGAATCGTAAAAACTTATTTTTTATGTTTTTATATTATTCTGGCAAATGTGAGGCTGTCAACGAACCTTGAAGAATGGCGAGTCCTCTGTGACATTTTGTCGATGTACCAGGGCCATCATCACAGGTAGGCTCTTCTCTGGACTCTCACTACAAAACACCAATCTAACGGTCTAAGGGCAGATAACTCAAATCTGTATTGTTTTATTGTGAAAATTTATTAATGCTTGTAAATATTTTATATAATTCTAAGTAACCATTATTTACTATTAAAAAGAACAAAATATATGCACTGCTTTAATTTTAATGAAGATTTCATCACTTCTAAAATAGAACCTGGTATTTATCCTGGATGATGATATGCAGAAAAATTGTGGTGAATAGGTATTCATTTGAAGTTGAAGTAGAACTAGCCTGAGGTTTAAATACATTAGTGGAATTGTTTCAAATAAAGTCTCGGATGGAAATCTTAACTAGATGGCTTTGGAACAAGTCTGGATCACTAATATGGGTTGAGTGTAGAGCTGTCATGATGTGTTGATACACACGTATACATACACTATAGGTGGATTTCAAAGTGATCTTATGTTAGGTACTTACTTTGGGCAGATGTAGAATGAGTCCAAGATGAAATATTTACCTGGGATGAATGTGAAAGAGGTCTGAGGTGAGATGAGTGACTGGCAGTCTGGAGTGATCTAGTGTGTAGGATATGATGAGGTTGGTACAAGCCACATGGTCATGTTCACATCTCATGAGAGGTTTCAGGTTGTATCTGTAATAGAATTTCCATTTCAGGATTAAATTTTAGTCTTTATATTATGGTTCATAAAATAAAAACACTTGTGAGGTTTGTGTACATATGTAATGTACCTGTATATGGTACCTTTATGCACATGGTATACACGCCTGTGTAGTATCTGTACATGGTATACACACCTGTGCTGTGTCTGTACATGGTATACACACCTGTGTGGTATCTGTACATGGTACCTGTACATTACATGTACATGGTATACACACCTGTGCTGTGTCTGTACATGGTATACACACCTGTGCTGTATCTGTACATGGTACCTGTACATTACATGTACATGGTATACACACATGTGCTGTGTCTGTACATGGTATACACACCTGAGCTGTATCTGTACATGGTACCAGTACATTACATGTACATGGTATACACACCTGTGCTGTGTCTGTACATGGTATACACACCTGTGTGGTATCTGTACATGGTATACACACCTGTGTGGTATCTGTACATGGTATACACACCTGTGTGGTATCTGTACATGGTATACACACCTGTGTGGTATCTGTACATGGTATACACACCTGTGGTATCTGTACATGGTATACACACCTGTGTGGTATCTGTACATGGTATACACACCTGTGCTGTGTCTGTACATGGTATACACACCTGTGTGGTATCTGTACATGGTATACACACCTGTGTGGTATCTGTACATGGTATACACACCTGTGCTGTGTCTGTACATGGTATACACACTGTTTGGTATCTGTACATAGTATATACACTGTGTGGTATCTGTACATGGTATACACACCTGTGCTGTATCTGTACATGGTACCTGTACATTACAAGTACATGGTATACACACCTGTGCTGTGTCTGTACATGGTATACACACCTGTGCTGTGTCTGTACATGGTACCATTACATTACATGTAATACACACCTGTGTGGTATCTGTACATGGTATAAACACCTGTGCTGTGTCTGTACATGGTATACACACTGTGTGGTATCTGTACATGGTATACACACCTGTGTGGTATCTGTACATGGTATAAACACCTGTGCTGTGTCTGTACATGGTATACACACTGTGTGGTATCTGTACATGGTATACACACCTGATTGGTATCTGTATGCTTTGTTTAGTGTGCCTGTATATATACTTACCTGTGTGCATGTTTTATGTAATTTACTAGTATGTAAACATATGTGTGGTTTGTGTAGTGTACCTGTTTATGTATACTTATTTAAATACCTGTATCATTTGTGTAATGTACCTGTATATATATATATATATATTATACATGCCTGTGTGGCTTGTGAAACTTGTGAAGATTAGTATCAGACTCATCCTCCACAGTCTCTTCCAAACTTGTTCCCACCTTCATGATGACTGCACTCACACCATCTCTTCTCTTTAGAATTACCTGTTTCATCCAAACACATCTTGATACAACACATCCTAATAATGTCCCTTAACATTTTTATAGTGATGATAAATTGTACTTGTGCATATTATCATAAAAAAAGGAAATAGGCACATTTCCAAATATAGCCAATTACAGGTTAAAAAATCCAATTATCTTTATCCAAGGGGAGGTAATCACCTGTGAAAAAATTTAAACAGATGAAGACATAAACCATGTATTACAAAATTATAAGATACATGATTACATAATTATGACAATAAGTCTGGTATGATAGTAGACAAAAAAAAAAGAAAAGAACAAATACAGAAAAACTGATGGTCTTACTTTGGATACAATGACGTCAAAGTCTTCACTTCCAAATTCTCGAGCTGGTATATCCTTGCTGTACATACTGTGGCAGCCTACCTTCCCATACAGGCGTTCACAAACCAGACGAAAGCACTGGTAGGAATAGAAGTAATTGGTATTTCTTCCAGGTGGGAGGGGCAGGAAGTCTGACTTCTTAGGCATCAGTACACCAAATAGACTCACATCATCAGACTTAGGGAGGAAAAGGCAAATGAAAAGGTTAGCTGTGGCAAGGGAGAGAACTCCAACTTATTTTCATATCTTCTCTAACATCATTTTTAATATTATTTTTTAAAAATAATTTTTGTACATCATTCTCTTTTGCATTTATCCAGATCATCATAAAATGTTTTTAATTCTCTCAATTAAGAGAAATATGATGTGACCTCTCACCTTAGCATCTGGCCAGTCAAACAAGTTGTCAGTAACAGCCGGAGTGGACACTCTGGCAAACCAGTCCATTATGTGGTCATGCTGAAATATTAAGTGAACACCACATAACCTGATGGAGAACATTTCACATAGCAGTGAGTAAAATACAAAAGAGACTAAACTTGAATTTTATCTAAAATTACCTTTATCTCCTTATAAGGTAGCATGTACTTTCTTCAGAAGATGTGTCATCATCAGTATAAAAATGTACGTCAGTTATTTAGTATATCTAAACTTTATAACAAAGGAAGAGAATGTTAATTGATATATGTACCAATAAATGGACAACAGAATGTTCACTATATATCCTGAATTACCTCCTTAGGGGATACGATAGATCATCATTGTTTAATTAATGATACAACAAATGATACAATGCTCTATCTAGCTAGAATAAGTTATTCTGAAGTACAAGTATGTATTGTCGACAAGGTATAATACTCCTACAGTGAAATCCTAAAATTTGTACAATATCAAATTCCAACCACTAGTGATGTGCTGCTATCTAGTGCCACCTCACCTGAACTTTACAGAATGGTTACTGTAATACCTAATCCCAATAATACAATAATTCAGCTAGGTCATAAATGTTTCTTTGTCCTAAAGAAAGTACAGTACTCTCCTTCAGATCTCCGTGTCGACTACAAGCAGTTTATATATTTAGGTGAATTAGGTGAAACAATTTGTGTTTTCTTCGATGCTCACCAGTAATACTCCATGGTAGTTCAATCTTATATAGTTATTTTGTTCTGCAAGTTTTTCCTCTCCCAAGCAATGACTACTGTGTAGCCAGCCCAGACCTCGAAATGCTGTCACAGTTGGATATCCACGAATATCATGTGTTTTACATAAGACATGGTCCACTGAACAATTGACCAAGTACATAGAGCCACCCTCTAAAACAATTACATGAAACATTGTAAAGAATCTTAAAAAAAAAAATGGATGCTTTAAGATGCTGCTGAGTTTGTCCGAACAACATTTACAGTCAGATGAAGACAATAGCAGATGAATACTGGACACAGATATCCTAATACAATATAGCTGTAGAATTAGGGTTAAGCTGTCCTACTTGCAAATGGTTCTCATTCTCTGCGTTGAATGTTTTAACCCTTTCATTACTCCAGAATAATTCTGTTTTCTAGATTTTGAATATATGTCAAATTACATGTGTTAAATCATGTTTTCCAATTAAATTAGAACTATTATTAATCAATAACTCCTGATGTACCAAAGTACCAAATATTCTACAAAACTACCAAATATTCTACAAAACTACCAAATATTCTACAAAACTACCAAACATTCAACAAACTACCAAAGTACCAAATATTCTACAAAACTACCAAATATTCTACAAAACTACCAAATATTCTACAAAACTACCAAACATTCTACCAAACTACCAAAGTACCAAACAATCTACCAAAGTACCAAACATTCTACTAAACTACCAAACATTCTACTAAAGTACCAAACATTCTACCAAACTACCAAAGTACCAAACATTCTACCAAATTATAAAACATTCTACCAAACTACAAAACATTCTACCAAACTACCAAACATTCTACCAAACTACAAAATATTCTACCAAACATTCTACCAAATTACCAAACAGTCAACTAACCTACCAAACATTTTACCAAACATCCTTAACAAATTTAACTTAATTTAACCTCTCTAATGACAACATTTACATTTGATTTCCACGAAAAATCAAAATCATCCCTGTCCATTTGTTCAGATGGGTAAATAACACTTTCAGATACTGTATAAATAAATACCAAAATGAATTTCAACATCATTTTAACAGAATAGAATCAAGACTTACCAACAAACTTGACAGATTTCTCTAATTTTGTAAAAACGGGCATACTGTTCTTACAACTCCTGCACTCTGCCATTACAAACACTACCTGTAATAAAAATGTTCTATTTCAGTTAAATGTAAACATGTCAGCAAGTTATTACAACTGAGGACGAATAGAATCCTATAACAGATGTCAATTAACTGTCAAAGGATATGATATCATTAAACATGTACAACATATGTGACACAATTGTAATATATCACAGCTTGTGTGATCGTGTACTTTAATCAAAATAGACATGATACAAATAGTGGGCACTTAATTTCTTATTCCTTCAAATGGTGGAAGAATATTTTACAACAAACTCATTATAACACAAACAAGTGTAAGTTATAGTTTGTAAAAAAAAAATGGCTGCCATTTATATATTTCAATACGTATATTTGAACAGTATATTGTAGAGTTCAATATAGCATAATATAAATGTGAATTGTATGTAAATCTATCTTCACATAATTTTTCTCCTGACGCCAAATTTCATAAGATCCAGTTAAAAAAGTGAGTAACAAGGCAATGTCAAGAACTATATAAGCATACAAACAGAAGGACATGAAAGTTAATTTGGATCTCAAAAAACCAACTCATTATTCACAGAAATAATTAACAGTAAACTGGTACAAACGTCCTCTGATAGAACCTTAAAGAACCCCTCCTCTACTGTTGGTATTGTTGAATGTGTACTTCTGAAATTGTAAAACTTCCAAAAACTTACCCAAAAAGACTTCAAACTCAATTTCAAGGCCAAAATGTCAGAGCCCAAAACATAATATTCCATAACTGGGAAAAGTCGTTAGTGATTTTAACAAAACAAAACACTTCCACGCCGACAATGAATTTATATACCAAACAGGAAAGATGAAAGATGCATACTTGTGGAGTAACAAATACTTCAAAAACTTTTCCCAAAGTGTTAAAATCATGAAATAACACAACAATGAGGACACCAAAATTGATGACAAGGAAACAGTATCAGCTGACAGTTACTCAGAAGCATTGAGCTAGAAATTCCCGTCCCCTAACCTCCAAAGTCCATATGACAGCTGAGGGACAGATAAACGGACAGATAGACGGACTGCACATATCCTCTGCTCTTAAAATTCATATCATCATAATATTATGTGGTCAAAAATTTTCTTAGTGTAATTATACTTACAAGAGCAACCTTGGTGACCTCCCCTGCCCATTCTCTGCCTCCGAGCATGGGGTGCTGAGGAGCATGTGACTTCTCAATAACTTCCGACCAATACTGGCCTGTCAGTACTGGGATATTTTCCACTGTGTCCAATTTTTTATTGACTGTTTCTGTTCCGTACTGGATAGATGAAAATATTATCATAGAATCATATATTTGTATACAGTACAAGATACTTATTGACATCACATGGTAAAAACAATGAACATTTGGACTGTAGACAAACAAAAGACATATACAATTCAAATAACAAGGACAGAAGAAGTAGTTAGCAGAAACAATGTGTTACGTGGTCATCACAGAAAAGTTGTATAGTTAAATGGAAAGTGATTTACATGTCTTTCAATTAAGATTGGAAATTTGGAGAAGTGATAAATTAAATCATTTGAGTTTAGTACCATATCATGCCAGAGTTTGATCTCTTCCGTTTTCTGCACCGTCACAATCTTTCTCTTGCATCTGATGCGTTTTACAGTCACAGGATCATTGTCTGTCAAGTTATGAGACTGTTGAGTGCACTGTGATCCCCGAGGTCCTTCAAGTATGCTGGAAACCTTAAATATATCAAACAAAATTATCTATCATTCTGAAGATGTTATATTTATTTGTTTATTTATTTAAAAAGCAGATATTGACATGTCAACAAAATTCTAATCCATAATTAACATCAATAAACAATGAAAAAATATCAACAAAAGAAAAACTTACAAATACTCTTAACTTAAGTAAACAGTGGAAAATATCTGGTGTCCTGGAACAGTAATCAATTTCTCCTTCATTGATGACTCCTGTCATGTAAACTTAGATCACTCTAATGGGAAGTCACAATGTCATATTCTTTTTTTAAGTTTAGAGGGGAAAAAAATGAACAAACAAAAAACAGACATTTATGTGAAATATGTAGAACAGTACTATTTTACACTAGACTATAGACAAATAAGTAATTTTTATACCCAGTTTTACAGACGAAAAAAAACTGCTTTTCCTAACCAAAAAGTGTGTTATCTGAGACGATGAAAAAATGTAGAACATTTCGTTCTTTTTTTTTTTCTGAATATCCTGTATTTTCCAAAATTAGAGGCGCACAGGGCTTTATCAATTCAAGGTAGAAATCAAAACTGTCTATCTCTCACCTCCAGCGGGTTATAGCCCTGCAGTGGATTGTAATACACCTCCTCTCCGTCCTGGTCCACAAAGCCAACAGTATCCAGGAGGATCCGATGTAGGTTTAAGGGAGTGAGTCTCTGTTCGGATACTTTTATCTGAGCTATATTTCCAGAATTATCTGAAAACATGTTTACTATTTCTAGAAGATTGTCTAATATCCTCAACTTCTGTATATCTTATCAATACATACATATATATATTAATTTTACAAAATTACATTTTTCTCTCTTTTTCACAAGAAATTTATAAAATCTTGTTCTTGGTAGTAGTGTGTCATGGTTTTAAACCTCAATCTTGATAAGAACAAGAAAATTTGGTCTAAGTAAACAATTCAAATACCCTTTGCCTTAAACTAAAATCTTAAAAAAACTTGCTAATGCTAAAAGTCTTGAAATCTAGGTTGTATTAGTATCATGGTGAAGAAATGTCAACATGACCGAAATTTTTTTTTTTTTTTTTTTCAATAAAAATCATTTCATTCAAACTAATCACACAACAAATGTACATACATACCCTGATAGTACAGAACAGCCATTGGAAAGGACAAAGAAAATGTCAGATCAACCCATCGGAAAAAGACTGAAAAATAGAAGTTCATTTGATCATTAAACTACTGAAATATTTTCAAAAAATGAAAATGTATGATTATACCATACATATGATATACCATTATATCTTCAAAAGGAAGAAAATGTGCGTAATTTGCTACAAATGTACATTACACTCTATCATAATGTTTAATTTTTGAAACTTAAACCCCTGACTTGTGTTGTGTTAAAACATTGTAGGTGCTAAATAATATCATTCAGAACTTGTGGTCGTTAATGAAGGCAGGGTATTGGTATTTATAGACCACAGAAGATTCATGCTTACTCTTGTTTGTGTTGGTCTGTTCAGTATTGAACAGTCCAAATCTAATATGCACTCCCATATCTTCAAACTCCTGTATGCTGTTTCTGAGCAGACGTAAGTAGAGGTGTGTGGTTGGCACAAAAGTTGAGTAAAACACAACCAGTGTTGGAACAAAATTCCCAGATGGTACCATTACAGACTCAAAAACATCCTGCAATTAAAAAAATGTAAATATATGGATTTTTCTATTGACTAAAATCAATCAAAATATATTAGGTATAATCAACACTGGTTTATAACACATCTTGATGTCAATTTATATATCAACTGTCCATTTTTATAGGCACACAATCATTCAACTGTGTACAATATCTTACTGGGGAATAGCTGCAATGTGTGGCTTGGAGGTTGCCAATGTGTCTGGTGTGCTCATCAAAGTGAGGCAAACCCATGTGTCTGGACTGGTTATCAAGTAGGGGACATCCATCTGTCTGGACTGGTTATCAAGTAGGGGACATCCATCTGTCTGGTCTGGTTATCAAGTAGGGGACATCCATCTGTCTGGTCTGGTTATCAAGTAGGGGACATCCATCTGTCTGGACTGGTTATCAAGTAGGGGACATCCATCTGTCTGGACTGGTTATCAAGTAGGGGACATCCATCTGTCTGGACTGGTTATCAAGTAGGGGACATCCATCTGTCTGGTCTGGTTATCAAGTAGGGGGCATCCATATGTCTGATCTGGTTATCAAAGTAGGGGACATCCATATGTCTGATCTGGTTATCAAAGTAGGGGACATCCATATGTCTGGTCTGGTTATCAAAGTGGATGTCATATAAGGGGACCATAATATGTCTGGCTAGGAGATACACTGACAGGGTTTGCTTACCTATCATAGTGGGGAACACCTATATGTCTGGCGAGGAGATACACTGACAGGGATTGCTTACCTATCATAGTGGGGAACACCTATATGTCTGGCCAGGAGATACACTGACAGGGTTTGCTTACCTATCATAGTGGGGAACACCTATATGTCTGGCGAGGAGATACACTGACAGGGATTGCTTACCATGTCATAGTGGGGAACACCTAGATGTCTGGCTAGGAGATACACTGACAGGGATTGCTTACCATGTCACAGTGGGGAACACCTAGATGTCTGGCTAGGAGATACACTGACAGGGATTGCTTACCATGTCATAGTGGGGAAGACCAATATGTCTGGCCAGGAGATACACTGACAGGGTTTGCTTACCATATCATAGTGAGGAACACCAATATGTCTGGCTAGGAGATACACTGACAGGGTTTGCTTCCCATGTCATAGTGGGGAACACCTATATGTCTGGCTAAGAGATACACTGACAGGGTTTGCTTGCCATGTCATAGTGGGGAACACCTATATGTCTAGCTAAGAGATACACTGACAGGGTTTGTTCACCATGTCATTGTGGGGAACACCAATATGTCTGGCTAGGAGATACACTGACAGGGTTTGCTTACCATGTCATAGTGGGGAACACCAATATGTCTGGCCAGGAGATACACTGACAGGGTTTGGTGTGTTACAGTTGCTCCTGATAACACCTTCACTGTAGCAGCATTTGAGTCTGTAAGCAAACAGGAATAACATTAAGAATCAGAACAAAAAGTTACAGGAATTCTTCTTAACCTGAAGCCAGAGGAGACAAAATTTCCTCTCACTGTTTGGATCGAAGGAATCTCTTGCTAACTTCTTTGTTGCTTTTGTCACTTACTTATTGTATCTCTAACTACGGTCAAGCTTATTGATTTATGAGGAGCACACAGGTCAAATTTATAAAACAGGAAACATCAGTTTTGATCAATAAAAAACTGCTCCTAAAAAACAAAATACTTTATCTGCAATCATTTTGACATCAATTTTGATAAAAAAAAAGTACTTTTAAAAAATGAAATACCTGATCTGCAATTGTATAAACTATAGAAATGGCATATACTTACCATTAATGTTATCCCTGTGTGTCACAACTACTGCAGGTAGTTTTCTTATATTAAATTTGTCTTTGAAAATTCTGTAAAAGGAGGGTTAAAAAAATAAATGATGAACAATCATAAACTTTATTAATTTCATCTGATTTTACATTATTTCATAAAGAAATCAAACATTCCTTCTTTCCTTATTTGTTTGGATTGAGTACTACTGTGAAGTTTAATGATATATAACCGATGTTTAAAAGAGTAGCTGAAAGAATGTTACAAATTAAAATCAATGTTTTTGTGAATATTTTGAAAGGAAAAAAATGTCTACTTAAGCATTTATCAACTTTTTTTTTCTCTAAACAGAAATAAATCAAGATAATTAAGTTATGACTAATATTGCAAACACAACATACTTTGAATCTGTACCATCTTCGTGCACTACAAAAGCCTTGGCATTCGGCAACTTTTCTTTTTCCTAAAACGGAAGGAAATACAAAATTGATAAATGCAAAATTATTCTGTATGGTATATTATGATATTAATGCTATAAAACAGCTTCAATTCCAACATATTTTGTTTCCATTAAGAAAAGGTCATGGACACAAATTATGAAAATTATACCATGCCCATTCCCAGGATGTAAAAAAGTTGATACAATTTAACTCTTGAGATTTGAGAAATTATTGATTGGATTGTACGATACAATATAATCTCACATTCAGCAAAGATTTGCATTATATTATCTATTTACGAAAGACATACGAAGTGTAATATTTTGACATCTGTAGATAACATGTACATCAACAGGCACATGCAACAGCAGACTAACAGAGTTGTATTTGGTAAAGTTTGCGAAATCACTGCAGTATTCACTAAATTACACAGAAGACGATAATACACCAAGTCTTACCAGATAACAGTAGATATCAGGTGGAATGTGTCAGGAAACCAAATAAGAAATGTTTGTATTCTGTCTACTCAGGTAAATAATTATCTCCCTTAGACTAGAATTACTGGTAGTGTACACTGACTTTAAAAAGTGAAGTTCTGAGGTTTCAATTATGATTTAAAGTATATGTCATACAGGTATGACAGAAAAATCACTGGATAAAGTTATTTTGATATAAGTAAGATGTAATCCACACATACATATTACATGTATTGAGAGCAGTTCTTTGTGTTCTTTAACAGTTCGTACAAATAAGCCGAATATTGCATGTCATTTGTTTTGGCTTTCTTTAAGGTTTACATGATCTTACCTGGAACACCATTTCCTCAATTTCAGCATGCTTGGCAGTGTCAGGGAAGGCTATGAGGACTGTGTTGTATAGCCCCTGGGCCTCCTTCACAGCTGATATTGTTGCATCTTCTAAGTATTCAGCCTGTTTCAGGACCTAAACATGAAAAATTATGTCATCTTGTATTCTGAAAACTTGTTTACTTTTCAGATTTGATGACTACAGACCATTTTGATAGTCTATAAACTGTTCTCATTAACATCTTTTACACAAAGTATTAACAGAGTTGAAGGTGAATTCCCACGGAGAATAAGGTTTATTTCATATTGTTTTAACTTTACATATACACTGACTCTGTAGTGGTAGAACAAATAATAATGTGATCCAGAGTATAAAAAGATATAGTGTCCTAAATTCCACTGGTACATGTTACAGTAATAATATAACATATATCTATTTGGCACCTAGTTCCGAGTTTCCTCTAACTCTGAATCATGTATTGATAGAATATTTTATGGATTTTATATCAACAGACGGCGCAGAATCAGATGAAACTTGGACTACTTGGCACCAAAGTCCATAGAATACCAGCTGTTTTATATACATGTATTACAAGAATTTTTTTCTGGTGATATGAAATTTCCCTAACTAATAATGAACAGTAAACATTAGGATACTGTTTCTCATCTGTCTGCTCCTCACCAGTTTTTCTAGCCACTTGGACACAGCCTTTGATGAATGTTTTCCATCAAACTCCTGGTATATATGTTTTCCTGTGTAACATCTCAGTGTAGGGAAGGATGTTGGTCTCCTTACTGGTGGCAGTGTTACCTGGAATGTAACAATCACCAAAATGTTCTATGTAATGTTATGATATTCTTTTATCATCTACACATGCAATGTCAACGTCTTTCATTTAAATTAATGATTATATTGCAATGAGTACATATGAACTATATTTTCTCTTTTTTCTATATTACCTTCACAAATTCTTAAACTACAGCATGTTTTGGTGATTTAGACTCAAGACAATGTAGATTGTATTATAGACATAATGGTTGTACATTTGTTACACTATCTTGTCTGCTGCATACACATTAACTTCAATAATCACATCTTTTCTCACAAGAAATGTTTAAAGGTCACAGCAGAAATATTTATTAAACAATTTCTCAGAGATTTAATATTTTTAGAGAGTTCTCAACAAAACATGTAACTGGTTTTATTCAAAATACTTATGAACCTTCTCAAAAGCAAAAGAACCAAACTGCCACTTTTTAAACTTTTCCCCTCCATCATTTTCTTCCTTGTTGACCAGTTTTTTGACAATGTCTTCAAGCGATGTATCTTCATCTAAAATCAAAGTGATAAAAAAAATGTAATGACACTGTACAAGTATGCTGTGTAAGTAAATGGTGGTATAAACTTGACAACTTTATCTGTACACTGTGAGAAAAGTTCTGATAATCTATCCATGATCGTATTTTTCATCTCTGTTGGCAATAGTATCAACTGAGACCTTTCAGACTAGTAATGTTACGTGATTCTGCTGGTACATGTGATTTACTGGACTTCAATAGTTAATCCAAAATTGTACAGTGTAGATAAGTGTCATATGCATTTGGTTGTAATTACTATATGCACAGTGCATGATTTCAGGACTAAAACTCATGTTCAGTACATTGTACATATACACAGTCTGGACTGGTTTGTAGTATATTGTTAAATTATTTTGCATTGTAATTTCATTTGAACATTACTTAGCTTAACATGCCTTTGAATATACATGTAAATACTAACCTATATCAAATACCTGATATTCTTTAGCAGACAGAGTGTTACCAATCCAGTAACTTGTTATTTTGAACAAATAGATAACAAATTTCTGTCTCTAAAATGATAATTTAATGTCAATATTAATATTTATATTACTGATATAACTTACGTTTTAAGAGGAGCAGAGTCAACAAAAATATTTTTTTTAAAAACCCACAATAACAGCAAAAGTAAATGTGAATTTCGACATTGAATTATCCTTTTTAGAGACAAGAAATTTCGGTATACTGAAGAAAATGCACAGGGATTTAGTCTTACAAATCTAGTTACATTCTGTCCTGAATAAGATACTCTGGGGATAACGCCTTAGAAATATAATTACCTATTGTCCTAAACAAAAGACATATGGGATGGAGTCTTACAAAGCTAGTTACCTGTTTTCCTGAACAAGATACACAGCGGATGGTGTCTAGACAGTTCAATCTTTCCCTTCAGTTTAGCAAGCTCGTAAAATTTTAATCTGCCGTAATCTGTAACAAAATTCAAGAAAATGGAAGAGATAATTACGTCTACTTAGTAAGAGAATGAACTATAAAATCGGAGAGTGATGTCATTTTTTAACAATGAGAGACACCGACGAGGGACATTGTCAAACGTTCGATATAAAAAGAGTCCATAGGAGGAATCCCCTCCGTCCAGTCCAGAAATATAACGTGCTGGACTGGAACTGAAATAAAATGGCAAATGTTTCAAGACTTTTTCATGATTTTCATGCAAACACCTTGTGTGGTTTACCTGAACATGTAGTGCTGGGTATGTTTGCCAGCAGAATCATGAAATGAATTATAAGAAGACACTCAAAGCGTCCATCACAACCCGCCATCTTGAAATTTGCATAAAGGTAGACAACTCGTACCTTATTATTCGAGGGAGGGTACGCAATGTGAGACTATACTATTTATACACAATACATGCTTGTCAGACAAGGTACACATAATGAAATACATTATATTTCTTTTATGTAAGAATTACTTCTTGTGTTATTTGTTCTTAAAAGATAAACACTAAACAATGATTAATCGAAAATTCTCAGGCTTGAAATGCCTCGGAAAAGAAATTCACATGAATTTGGGTCAAATAGAACAGGATAATTTTGCAATATATATATATACACGATTTCAATCTAACAAAAAAAAGATAATTACTGAAAAATATCTGTCCAGTTGGTTATAGCTCTGTATTTTTTCTTTTCGTTTTTTTTTTTTTTTCCCCGTCTTTTTGCGTATCAGCAATAATAAGGTAGAAGAAAATCACACTAGAGGCCATGGATCTCAACGAGTTTTTGTCAGAATACATGGACCATATCATCAGGGGCAGGGATGGTACTCGGCACGAATCTAAAAATAACCCGATTGGCATTGTCTCTTCGTCCGCTTTTCCGAAGTGTTTACTAGTAATGAAGAAGTTGCTAAAATGACAAAACGAAAGAACATCTTTCCAATGATATATCAAAGCTATTTCCCTTTTTAAGAACAGAAAATGTCATTTTGGTCATCGCCAAACAGCTTCCAGAAGTTGGAGTAATTTAAAAAAAAAAAAAAAAAAACATCTTAGCAGCCTCCTGCCCCAGGCCATGTACATGTACTGAAAAAGTCTTTTGAAGAAAATATTGATAGCGGACGAACTGGCGGGTGGACGCCACGGTAATTATATGTAGTCCATGAAAATCAAAGTACCTCCTCAAACCATTTGCTCTATCTTTATCCCCTAAAAAACGGCACTTTTTTATACTTACACCAAGCTTTGTGAAATTATGTAAGCGTTAGCCGTATCGTTGAGACGAGGTGGCCGAGTGGTTAAGGCGATGGACTGCTAATCCATTGGGGTCTCCCCGCGTGGGTTCGAATCCCATCCTCGTCGTCTATTTTAGACTTAAGATTGTTAAAAACATTTTGTTAGAAAAATATATGTATATATTCGCAACCCAACATGTAATAAAACAGAATATGCAATCTCTCAGGGGTGACTAATGAGACGTCGCAACACTAAGTGATAAGATTTTTAAGTGTACACACACATAAGACAGTGGATTGTAATGTTTTCTTCATGGATAATATGATACTATTTAACTCAGTACTTAGCATTGTTGACATGACTTTATTTAATTGCTTACGTGACGCCTACGAATTGTTGCCATACCGTCATGCAATATACTATAGCAAGGGACTCTACTGTTTTAACCCTAAGGTGAGATATACAACAATAGACCCTCCGCCTCTGTGCTATGCTGACGTAGAGGACCTCACATGTGTTTTCATTTCATATGATATTTATCAAATGAGTTTGAGAATTTTCATTTCACTGAGCCTCTTGCGAGGATAAAAAATTATAACGATTGTCATAAATCTCATATGAATGGTAACGAATATAAGATTCTGTTTTACACATCGCATAGATACCGTGTTAAAAGCGTTCGTGAAAACAGCATTATATATTAAGGACTTAGGAAAATTGTTCTTTCATCTTTCTCAAATTCCATATTCCAAAAAGATTTTGAGTCTCAGATGTGTTGGAAATATACATAAGTATGCCGATGTGGTCATTTAATTGATAATTCGTAATGTGTGGGTCGTTGAATATTCATATAGTCAGCCGTGTGAGACACTTTACCTTAACCTTGGCAGAATCTAGACTTGCTTTGCGAGTTTTAGTATCACGACCATCATCTTATTAATTTTAAGCATTCGTGACAAATAAATACCATATTTCTGGTAATTGTTTACAAATTTCTTTTCGATGTCAATGGCCACGTGGTGATTTACAAATCTGTTATAACTAGACGCTATATTGTTTGCTAATTATCACGACGGCGCTGGTGGTTTTAGCATTGTTTATCATTTTTCCATCACAGAATCGACTGTGGTAAGAAATGTGTAGAAAGTTTCCATCACTATGCAGACTATTCTGTTACAGACACATGGGCTCTAGGATGGTTTACTGCGGATATAAGGAAGGCTTGTTACAGACGTAAGGACAGTGGTGTTAGAGTAATTGACATTAAAGTTGATATGTATTTATAAGGATGGTTACGTAAAGGCGGGGGGTGGGTGGGGGTGGGGGGGGGCGACTGTAATGATGTTTGGTTACGAACCTTAGAAGGATACCTGATGGACATGTAATAAAAATCAGCATTGCGCCCCGCCCCTATGCCAACAAAATCAAATGTTTTAAAACTGGTGTATCCAATAAAAAAAATTACCTTTTCCTGACACAAGAGTGCACCAGACGAAATCCTATCATTCTCAAAGAAAGATTTTAAAAATAATATTATAAAGTTTCCTACTGGGCCCGCCCCATCTGCAGAAACTCTTCGTTTATTCAAAACTGAGTTCAACTATTGATGCTGTTAACCAAATTTGTCAAAATCTTATCATCCTTATAGAAGGACAATGATTTTAAAGCATTTCTTTTATTTTCACTACGTGACCCGTGCTTATGTCTGGAGAGGAGTTAAATTCACTGTCAGTTAAACAAACTGGTTGCCATTTCCTCAAAGGATGCTTCCGACCAAATTTGGTTTTAAAAATGCCGAGTAATTTAAGTCTAGATGCGATGTTTTGAAGAATAAAGTCCAAAAAGTACATATGACCAGATGAAAGAGAAACGGAATTACAACACTGTCATACAACAAGCCGTTATACACGCTGTACTGTGTGTGTACAGTACATAGTATCTGTTGGGAGATAAGCGCGATATGATAGGGACATATTTGCGGCGTGGCACTAAGTGGCTACATGTGATCAAATATATATCGTCCTTTATCAGATTACTGAATGAAATAATGCGCTATTTTTGATATCCCGTTATCAGCACGTGCATGACCGGAAGAGGTACATATAATGTCATTTTCACCGTCTCCGGTTTGGACTATTACCTATGACTACTTATCCTTTGATATTGATAACATGAATATGAGTCTCTCAACTAAAATGTGGAGATCAAATAACAAAAAACAAGGAATAATTACATCAAGTGTTATTGAACTTGGGATGAGGAATTAACTCACAAGTTCGACAAAGCAAAATTTCAGTGTTCTTAATCATCTCGTATATTGTATTTCTCCAGCAATAACGACGGAACGAAAGAATCGCCTGTCGTGGAATGTTTATTTACATATACAGCGATACCAATAAAAATAAATAATAACAAAATGATAATAACAGTATTTCAACTTATGTGACTGATTAAAATATTAAAATTCAATATAAATAATATGGAGCGGAATTAGACATAGATTCATATGCATCGGCCATGATAATGTTGGAAAATTCATGGGCAGATAAAACAGGATTGTTTATAGTGACTTAGTGAGTCCAGAATTAGAACATCAGAAAACATTACCGAGTTGAACAATAACCTGCAGCATTCATCGTTCAATGATTAGATACTATTGTATATCTCAATACAATTCTGTTGAGAGATCCTGATCAAAGTTCCGGAATGGTGTCATGTTTTATACTGCCTGTAGGTTGTAACCAAGCAATAAAACATGCTTGAATTTAGAAAAAAAATGTATGAACTATTTGTAAAATTTTCGTTAAATTCTGTACACCTATTCAGCTTTATGCTTAGGTATACCTGAAAACCTCACCCGGTGGTGTTACAATGAAAATTAAACATGAATGGCGGGTAGCGGCAAGAGAAACCATAACACACCCCGTCATGTGAACATCATCGCTAAATCACGTGCACGTCATTTTTTTATATTCAAATCAGAAACAAAAAATATCTAAATAACTACATACATATATACGTACTTTATTCCAATAATATAACATGAATATATAATGACATACCTGTGGGTAAATTTGTCAAAATTTGTTGAAGTTCATCCAAAATTCATAATCTCCCAAAGTATTCAACAGGTAACATGTCGACGTCTCTATATAGTTTCCTGGAAATATTACCGATACCCGCCAATATATATATATATATATATACATTTGTGGCATATACCTGACTGTAACGCAATAAAACCGTATATTTGAGACAACTCTAACTGAAAAGAATTTCTTTGAACATTTTATGGAAGATTTGATTACTCCATCAGGTTCACACGACTTTGAGATATTTACACACGGTGAAGATATGGGATCTAATGAAACGAGCTTCTTTATCAAGACACTTTGGAGCCGCAGTTCAACACTTAATTCGGGTTTCGAAATTTTGTTTTTCACAATAACACTTATCTTTTGGATAGTTTTACGAGGATCGTTTGTGACTTCATTTCATTGTCATCTCTGGACGTCAACAAATCACATTAGATCGCGCAAACGTATGATATTGCGTACCAAATAATACAGAAATTATCTTATACGTGATGCAATAATATTCATATCTATTTTTTAAATCATGTTTTTTTTTATTTTTATTTTTTTTTTATTTTTTTATTTATTTTATTTTTTTTTTTTTAGGTGGGGGGTTGTGATTTGATTTTTGTCTTGTTTCTTTTTTTCCTGTTTTATTATTATTATTTTTTTTAATGTATTTTATCTTTTTCACTCTTATTTTTCAAATGAAAACATGGAGACGATATTTTCTAACATGCCTGAGTCATTCCTGTTAATAGATTATCGAATTGCTGTGTTAAGAGTCAGTGTGACCTCTGTGTCGATGAGGGCGGTGTACAATTTGCTGTACCCAGTACGATAGACGAATGTTGTGATACTAGGTTATCATCAGTCGGCATTGTAGCTGATAAAACGTGTTCCCTTGCTTACACCATTGTAGTGTCGGAACACCAAATATGGACTTCAGGTACTTCCAAATAAGGCAATGTTTCATCTAATCAACCCAGAGTTCACGGAAAATCTCGTCGAACAGCATAAAACAAAGCTCGCGTGAGCTACATCGTCACTCGTGTCTTAAACCGCGTAGAGGTAACATTACAGGATAACATCTCACACAAACTCAATACAAAATGGCTGATGATGATGTTACCGCTTTGGTTGTGGACAATGGGTCCGGAATGTGTAAGGCAGGATTTGCCGGTGATGATGCCCCACGTGCTGTTTTCCCTTCTATTGTTGGAAGGCCCAGACATCAGGTATGGGTTTTTCATAACTATATGGGGAAAAAACTTTTTTTCTTCTTCTTCTTTTTGTTTCATTACAGATAATTCATGAAACTGAAATCGGAAAGCATGAGATACGAGATAATATACATATAGTTCCAGTCATGTTAAAAGAGCGCATAAGAAGTATCTATAATTACAACCATACGTCCCTTATTATGTACTCTATACTTGCTAACATATTGAATGAGCTTTCCAAAATCGTTTATTATCCATATATCTCCATTTCTATGTTGGATTATCAAAATTACGGATACAGCAACAGTTGAAATTCATTTGAATTATTGAATTTCAATTAAAACCTGACTTGTCTTAACTTGCCTTAGAGTTATCTCCCGTTACATGAGTACACGCCCACTAATTCTTCCCGGTAGGTTGCCCTATCGACTTGACACCGTATACTTTGATACGGAGATAAACTAATATTACACGTTGTAACGTGTTATTTCGGGTTATGTATAGTACAAGCTACACACACTACACATGTGCCACATGTACACAGTCATCGCTAGTCACATGATTCAAACCACATGATTCGAGCCACGTGATGATCGCTGGAATTGAGCGATGCTACAGAATGCTTCGTCAATCTTATGAACTTATGTTTACAAAACGAGAAAACAAAAAAAATAAGTTTTAAAAATCGATAAGGATGTCTCGCCTGAGTTTCGTTTTTTTTTTTTTTTATTGTTATTTTTATGTACACCTTTTGTGATAGGGATAGACCTCAACATTTGTTTGGTAGGGTATATAATACAAGAACTCTTTATGTAGTGCATTCATATTAATAGTATGACTATACCGTGAAGAAAAACGTTATAATATAAACATATAGTGGTATATTATAAGGAAACTTGCACAACTTGTGATTAAGTAACTGGGATAACGTGCCGTGTAATAAATATTTCATTTGAATATCTTCAATGTGTGTATGCATTGTACATGTAATACATTGTATATAAGTAAAAGATAAAGAGTATTTTATACAAATGTTTCGAATAAAAAGTATTCATATATTAGATATATTTATGTGTGTGTAATGCATTATTTCTTTGACTTTATATATTGCGGTACGTTTACTTAAATCATAAGTATATATTGAACACTTGAAACAATTAAATACGCTTTACATTCAGTGTTACATAAGTATTGTCAGAGATTTGAAATTATCTGAGCAAAAATCATTAATAGTGTGTTATGTTTTTATTCCTTAATCACAGGGAGTGATGGTTGGTATGGGACAGAAGGACAGCTATGTCGGTGATGAGGCCCAGAGCAAGAGAGGAATCCTCACCCTCAAGTACCCCATCGAACACGGCATCGTCACCAACTGGGACGATATGGAGAAAATCTGGCATCACACCTTCTACAACGAGCTCCGTGTGGCTCCAGAGGAGCACCCCGTCCTTCTGACAGAGGCTCCCCTCAACCCCAAAGCCAACAGGGAAAAGATGACACAGATCATGTTCGAGACCTTTAACTCCCCTGCCATGTACGTGGCCATCCAGGCTGTGTTGTCCCTGTACGCTTCTGGTCGTACTACCGGTATTGTGTTGGACTCTGGCGATGGTGTGTCCCACACAGTCCCAATCTATGAAGGCTACGCACTTCCCCATGCCATTATGAGGTTGGACCTTGCAGGACGTGATCTCACAGACTACCTGATGAAAATCCTCACAGAGCGTGGTTACTCATTCACAACCACAGCTGAGAGAGAAATTGTTAGAGACATTAAAGAAAAGTTGGCATATGTTGCCCTTGACTTTGAGTCCGAAATGGGCACAGCAGCCTCCTCCTCATCACTGGAAAAGAGCTACGAACTTCCCGACGGTCAGGTCATCACCATTGGAAACGAGAGGTTCAGGTGCCCAGAGGCTTTGTTCCAGCCTTCCTTCTTAGGAATGGAATGTTCCGGAATCCACGAGACGACATACAACAGTATCATGAAGTGTGATGTGGACATCAGGAAAGATTTGTACGCCAACATTGTTATGTCTGGTGGTACCACCATGTACCCAGGTATTGCTGACCGTATGCAGAAGGAAATCACTGCTCTTGCTCCAAGCAGCATGAAAATCAAGGTCATTGCTCCACCAGAGAGGAAATACTCCGTCTGGATCGGTGGTTCCATCCTTGCTTCTCTGTCCACCTTCCAACAGATGTGGATCAGCAAACAGGAATACGATGAGTCCGGCCCATCCATTGTCCACAGGAAATGTTTCTAAATGATGATTGTGACTATTGTTCTCCGAGTTTACATTTTGTGCAATAACGTCAGTCTTATCTATAAGTACGGGTGCCTAATCAACAGACAGTCGTGATGTTGGCGTCACTTAAGTCACGCCTTAAAAGTCGCGTGGATCGCGATCTCTTACATGTTTGGTTGCTGATAGCACTAAGTGACTGAAATCAAATTAATCGTCCCTCAGAACTCATCGTAGTTCTCTCTGAAAGTTCCAGTTTTATTTAAAAGTTATAAAAATATTTCTTTGTTACTTCGTTGTTGAACAAAATTTAATGTTTTATACTGAATAAATTCCTACAAATATCTGTTATTGTTTAGCTATGGTATTTTTTTAGCTACTGAATCATTTTATTTTCTGTTCTACGGTATTTTATAAACTGATTTCTAACTGCAATACAGAAATTAGAATATTATATGAAAAATAAAATTAGCTTAACAAATAAAGACAACAACTAAATGTTTTCTAGACTGTCGGTAAGAGATGGAGACGTGGAGTTACCTCCCCTGGTTTACACTAATTTCTCAATGAGAAATATTGTTTTATGTTCTCCATTTACTTCACGTTCTGCTTGGCACTTTGTTGTCTCTCTTGTTAAACAATTTTGCTTTTTCTATTCAATGACAGCTGGACCTTTTTCAAATCGGGCATACAAAATTTCACAGGTATATTAAGTCGCTTACCATGAAACAAACAAGGCCAATCAACCGAATATACCAAATAAAAACAAATTATATAAGACGGCTCTTGTCAGTTTCAAAAGAATCAATTAAAAAAGAAGAGAAGTAATAGTAAGGTAAGCACCTAAAGACAACAACACTTGAATCGGACGTAGTATGACATAATGATAGAAGGATGTAACATCCATATGACGTAACCATAGAACGTGTAGCATCCCTAGACTGTAAAAAATGTTATTCAAATTCCTATGACGTAATGACAGAAGGGCGAAGCATCCCTATGACATAATTATAGAAGGGTGAAACATTACTGTGACGTAATGATAGAAGGGTGAAACATCCCTATGACGTAATAATAGAAGGGCTTATCACCTCTATGACGTAATGATAGAAGGGTGAAACATCCCTATGACGTAATGATAGAAAGGTGAAACATCCCCATGACGTAATGATAGAAGGACTTATCACCTCTATGACGTAATGATAGAAGGGTTTATCACCCCAATGACGAAATGATAGAAGGGTGAAACATCCCTATGACGTAATGATAGAAGGGTGAAACATCCCTATGACGTAATGATAGAAGGGCTTATTACCTCTATGACGTAATGATAGAAGGGCTTATAACCTCTGACGTAATGATAGAAGGGTGAAACATCCCTATGACATAATAATAGAAGGGTGAAGCATCCCTATGACGTAATGATAGAAGGGTGAAACATCCCTATGACGTAATGATAGAAGGGTTAAGCATCCCTATGACGTAATGATAGAAGGGCTTATCACCTCTATGACGTAATGATAGAAGGGTGAAGCATCCCTATGACGTAATGATAGAAGGGTGAAACATCCCTATGACGTAATGATAGAAGGGTTAAGCATCTCTATGACGTAATGATAGAAGGTTGAAACATCCCAATGAAGTAATGATAGAAGGGCTTATCACCTCTATGACGTAATGATAGAAGGGTGAAGCATCCCTATGACGTAATAATAGAAAGGTGAAACATCCATATGACGTAATGATAGAAGGACTTATCACCTCTATGACGTAATAATAGAAGGGTGAAGCATCCCTATGACGTAATAATAGAAAGGTGAAACATCCCTATGACGTAATGATAGAAGGACTTATCACCTCTATGACGTAATAATAGAAGGGTGAAGCATCCCTATGACGTAATGATAGAAGGGTGAAACATCCCTATGACGTAATGATAGAAGGGCTTATCACCTCTATGACGTTATGATAGAAGGGCTTATAACCTCTATGACGTAATGATAGAAGGGCTTATAACCTCTATGATGTAATGATAGAAGGGTGAAACATCCCTATGACATAATGATAGAAGGGTGTAGCATCCCTAAAACGTTATGATAGAAGGTTGTAACATCCCATGGGCGTAAAAATAGAAGGGTGTAGCATTCCTAGGCCGTAATGATAGACGGGTGGAGCATTCCTATAACATGATGCTAGAAGGGTGCTATACTCCTAGCCGAAATAATAGAAGGTTGAAGCATTACAAGGCCGTCAATAAAGAAGAGTATTACATCCCTGTATGAGGTAATGATAAAAATAGTGTCTCATATTGGACTGATATTGGTAAGACAGTTACGTGACAAACTTCATCTGATTTAAAGTAATGGGATGTAGTTTTCCTCTACAGAAATAACAATTGTAACGTAAAGAGTTGGAAATATGAGATTCTCACCTGTAAGGTACTGTTAGTCCACACACGAAGTGTCAAGTACTGTTAGTCCACACACGAAGTGTGGAAAAACGAGATTATCGCCCGTCAAGTACTGTTAGTCCACACACGAAGTGTCAAGTACTGTTAGTCCACACACGAAGTGTCAAATACTGTTTGTCCACACACGAAGTGTGGAAATAAAAATTATCTTCTGTCAAGTACTGTTAGTCCACAGACGAAGTGTGGAAATACGAGATTATCTCCCGTCAAGTACTGTTAGTCCACAGACGAAGTGTGGAAATACGAGATTATCTCCCGTCAAGTACTGTTAGTCCACACATGAAGTGTGGAAATACGAGATTATCTCCCGTCAAGTACTGTTAGTCCACACACGAAGTGTGGAAATACGAGATTATCTCCCGTCAAGTACTGTTAGTCCACACACGAAGTGTGGAAATACGAGATTATCTCCCGTCAAGTACTGTTAGTCCACACACGAAGTGTGGAAATACGAGATTATCTCCCGTCAAGTACTGTTAGTCCACACACGAAGTGTGGAAATACGAGATTATCTCCCGTCAAGTACTGTTAGTCCACACACGAAGTGTCAAGTACTGTTAGTCCACAGACGAAGTGTGGAAATACGAGATTATCTCACATGCTGCAATCTGATCATCAATATTTCAATTTTCGTCGGATGGGACGATATAAAAATGTTTCCTTGAAGTTGCTTTTTTTGTGTTAATACCTTCCAAGTCACACAAATTGGAGGCGAATATACACTACTGTAATTCCGTAATAGGATCAAATTTTTAAAACCATTCAGAACCTTTACGTTCGGGAGGACTGACATTGAAATTTATGGCCTATTAGGTTAAATGACAATGAGTTGAAGAAGCAACATCTTCAATAGCCTCTGTTATCCGTGGCCACATCCGGTCACTTAGATGTTGGTCAATGGTACAAAATACAAAAGACATTCCGTTTCAATCTGTCCATTGTACACTCCTTCACCGCAGCAGTTCGTCGTCAGCAGTTTCCTTCATTCATGGCCGTTCATGTTGCTTCAGGCATTTGGTAATAACAAACACGATGTCAGCGCTATTAGATTACACAGCGATCGAAATGGGCGGTACAGCAGACGTCGAGAAGAACAAATCTGATTGGTTCGATATTCTTATAGAGTGAAAGATGCCCAAATATGGTCATGTAGCATCGAGTCGTCTCGTAGTCTTGTGAGACCAAATCAGGCTGGGAGATACGTAGAGCTGTTTGGTAAGGTTCGAGGGTAATCGTCATTTAAACAGTCTAAGCTGGTTTGCAATTGTGCAGCAACAGCAACGACAACAACGATAATGGCAGACGACGATGTTGCAGCTCTTGTCATCGACAATGGGTCCGGAATGTGTAAGGCAGGATTTGCCGGCGATGATGCCCCACGTGCTGTTTTCCCTTCAATCGTTGGGAGACCCAGACACCAGGTATACATTACACTTTATATACTTATTAGACATAGATGAATGACCAAATCACTCTTGTCTTTGTTATATAGACACAGTTTCTCATTTTTGTCTTCTTTGTGGGCAATAGAAACAATGCCTTTCAATCATCAATTTAAGAATCCATTTTTAATCATTGAATATTAGCGAATGACATAGTTTTTTTTAGATCTGTATATTCTGTTAGATGCGTTATGAAAAATATGCATGCATTGACGAAGACATTACGATAATATGAAAGAACGGTGGGGATGTTAGTACATACAAAGTCAGAACACACGTGCTTTAGGAATCGGACAGTCGCGTTGATCGATCAATACCACCCCGCCACCATTACACCATACTAACAACACGCCGCAGCTTGTGACTCATAGCTTCCGCAAGTTGTCGTAGATTTGACAGCCGACTGGACAACCATGTGTCTATGTTGACATCCATGTCGACACTGATGTCATGACATTACCATGAATGACCTCCTCTGTGAGACAAAACTTGTTGGCATGCTTACCATCAGTTCAAAACTTGAAACCCTTTATTTCGTTGTGAATTATAATAGAAGAGATGTCTGAATATGAAGCTTTTAACTACAGAAATACACAAATAGTACCTTTTAGTATGTAACATTTCATATCATACTGACTTTGATCCGTAATGAGTATTATACCAATACACACAAAGGACTCTTGAAGCTAACAATCGTTATTCTGTACCTTCGCATACATTAGTTATACTAAGGGAGACAACGGTAACCATCATTTACTATGTTATATTTTACTAGTTATACCATGTACCCAAATGGTACACAGTAACTATGAAAACAGGAACAATGCAACCTAGTAAGTCTTTGTTATGACATCAGGTACAACATACATCACTAGTTGCTTCCGACATTGCCGACTCATACCCTAGTAGTCAGCGGTTACTATGCCGACCCGTACCCAAGTGGTCAGTGGTTACTATGCCAACCCATACCCTAGTTGTCAGAGGTTACTAGGCCGACCCATACCCTAGTGGTCTGTGGTTACTATGCCGACCCATACCTTAGTAGTGAAAGGTAACTATGCCGACCCATACCCTAAGAGTCATATGTTACTATGCCAACTCACACCCTATTTGTCAGAGGTTATTATGCCGGTCCATACCCTAGTGGTCTGTGGTTACTATGCCAACCCATACCCTAGTTGTCAAAGGTTACTAGGCCGACCCATACCCTAGTGGTCTGTGGTTACTATGCCGACCCACACCTTAGAAGTGAAAGGTTACTATGCCAACCCATACCCTAGTTGTCAGTGGTTACTATGCCAACCCATACCCTAGTTGTCAGAGGTTACTATGCCAACCCATACCCTAGTGGTCAGTGGTTACTATGCCAACCCATACCCTAGTTGTCAGAGGTTACTAGGCCGACCCATACCCTAGTGGTCTGTGGTTACTATGCCGACCCACACCTTAGAAGTGAAAGGTTACTATGCCGACCCATACCCTAGTAGTCAGATGTTACTATGCCGACCCATACCCTAGTAGTCAGATGTTACTATACCGACCCATACCCTAGTAGTCAGAGGGTACTATTCCGATTCATACCCTAGTAGTCAGAGTTACTATACCGACCCATACCCTAGTAGTCAGATGTTACTATACCGACCTATACCCTAGTAGTCAGATGTTACTATACCGACCTATACCCTAGTAGTCAGATGTTACTATGCCGACCCATACCCAAGTAGTCAGATGTTACTATGCCGACCCATACCCTAGTGGTCTGTGGTTACTATGCCGACCCATACCCTAGTGGTCTGTGGTTACTATGCCGACCCATACCCTAGTTGTCAGAGGTTACTATACCAACCCATAGTCTAGTAGTCAGAGGTTACTATGCCGACCCATACCCTAGTGGTCTGTGGTTACTATGCCGACCCATACCCTAGTAGTCAGAGGTTCCTATGCCAACCCATACCCTAGTAGTCAGTGGTTACTATGCCAACCCATACCCTAGTTGTCAGAGGTTACTATGCCAACCCATACCCTAGTGGTCAGTGGTTACTATGCCAACCCATACCCTAGTTGTCAGAGGTTACTAGTGGTCTGTGGTTACTATGCCGACCCATACCCTAGTTGTCAGAGGTTACTATGCCGACCCATACCCTAGTAGTCAGATGTTACTATGCCGACCCATACCCTAGTAGTCAGATGTTACTATGCCGACCCATAGCCTAGTAGTCAGAGGTTACTATACCAACCCATACCCAAGTAGTCAGAGGGTACTATTCCGATTCATACCATAGTAGTCGGAGTTACTATGCCGACCCATACCCTAGTAGTCAGATGTTACTATGCCGACCCATATCTTAGTAGTGAAAGGTAACTATGGCGCCCCATACCCTAGTAGTCAGATGTTACCATACCAACCTATACCCTAGTAGTTAGATGTTACTATGCCGACCCATACCCTAGCAGTCAGAGGTTACTATACCAACCCATAGTCTAGTAGTCAGAGGTTACTATGCCTACCCATACCCTAGTGGTCTGTGGTTACTATGCCGACCCATACCCTAGTGGTCTGTGGTTACTATGCCGACCCATACCCTAGTTGTCAGAGGTTACTATGCCAACCCATAGCCTAGTAGTCAGAGGTTACAATGCCGACCTATACCCTAGTGGTCTGTGGTTACTATGCCGACCCATACCCTAGTTGTCAGAGGTTACTATGCCAACCCATAGCCTAGTAGTCAGAGGTTACAATGCCGACCTATACCCTAGTGGTCTGTGGTAACTATGCCGACCCATACCTTAGTAGTGGAAGGATACTATGCCAACCCATACCCTAGTAGTCAGATGTTACTTTGCTGGCCCATACCCTAGCGGTCAGTGGTGACTATGCTGACCTTTTCTTTAGTTAGTTATTGTTACGGATTAGACATTTGCCAGTACAATGAACATTAGTAGGCCTTGATAGCTGTGGAAATTTGTCTAACATACACAAGAAATGACATTTTACTTTGTTCGTCCGGCCTATTCAAGTTGTTCATTTTTATCCAGTGGTTGCTATGCCAACACGCATATATCATATTTGAAGTCGACTTAACAAATGTAACCTATCAAACAGTATAGTTACTATGCGACCTTAACCTTATGAACAATGGTTACTAAGGCAACACAAACACTGTACCCGAGTAGTCTTATAATATGCCCATCTGTATCATTGTCCTTAAAACTGATCAACGATATCCGCGAGCGATAAAACCGTAAAAGAGCCAACATTGTCGCTGATAATTCAATAATTTAGTATAGCATCGGCGACTACACAAATACCAGCCGTGGCGAATTTCTCAACATGGTGTTAAATTGAAAGGTCGTGCCGATAAAACGGGTAGTCCGTTTGTTCACTATTACAGCGCGGCATGCACTATTAAAACAAATCTATATGAAACAACGAAAACTTTATCACCAACTGATAGATTTTGAAGCCTTTAATTTGAAACTCGCTCTTTTTAAATTCACAAAGAAACGAATATGATCATGGATTGACATAATACCATTGTAATAAAATTGATATTAATAGCGTGGCTGAATTATCCCGATTAACGTCAGACCGATGTAAGCTGGAAATACACACTACAGTCACACATAAAGACTTAAGACCGTCTGGGACTCTAGTCAGTACCTTTTTTTAAAAAAGGGATTAAGAGTTTAACCCAATTCTGCGGTGAACTAGAGGTCAAACATTTCAAATTGAAAGAGCTGTACACAAGAAGGAGTTTCTTTTAATGTTGTTTACAAATAAAATAAAATCGATAATATTTTATATAATTTGTTACCAGTATCTCAGCAGTAGACACGATCATTTATAATTTATATTTTATAAACCCAAAATCAAATGTTACATGACTTTATTTTTTTTATCAATTATACATTATACATTTATTTTTAACATTAATAAAAGATGAAATGAAAATGAAATATGTTATCTGTACCAGTGCCTAACTAATGGATTTCTATTTTCCATTTCCATTACAGGGAGTGATGGTTGGTATGGGACAGAAGGACAGCTATGTCGGTGATGAGGCCCAGAGCAAGAGAGGAATCCTCACCCTCAAGTACCCCATCGAACACGGCATCGTCACCAACTGGGACGATATGGAGAAAATCTGGCATCACACCTTCTACAACGAGCTGCGTGTGGCTCCAGAGGAGCACCCCGTCCTCCTGACAGAGGCTCCCCTCAACCCCAAGGCCAACAGGGAAAAGATGACACAGATCATGTTCGAGACCTTCAACTCCCCTGCCATGTACGTGGCCATCCAGGCTGTGTTGTCCCTGTACGCTTCTGGTCGTACTACCGGTATTGTGTTGGACTCTGGCGATGGTGTGACACATACTGTCCCAATCTACGAAGGCTACGCCCTGCCTCACGCTATCCTCAGACTGGATCTTGCCGGACGCGATCTGACAGACTACTTGATGAAAATCCTTACAGAGCGTGGTTATTCATTCACAACAACAGCCGAGAGGGAGATCGTCAGAGACATTAAGGAGAAATTGTGCTATGTGGCTTTGGACTTTGAACAGGAAATGCAAACCGCTGCTTCTTCTTCGTCACTCGAGAAAAGTTACGAACTGCCGGATGGTCAAGTTATCACCATCGGTAACGAACGCTTCCGGTGTCCGGAAGCTCTGTTTCAGCCATCTTTTCTTGGGATGGAATCTGCTGGAATCCACGAAACAACATATAACAGTATCATGAAGTGTGATGTGGACATAAGAAAAGATTTGTACGCTAACACTGTTTTATCAGGCGGAAGTACAATGTACCCTGGTATCGCTGATCGGATGCAGAAAGAAATCACCGCTCTTGCTCCAAGCACCATGAAGATTAAGATCATTGCCCCACCAGAGAGGAAATACTCCGTCTGGATCGGTGGTTCCATCTTGGCTTCTCTGTCCACCTTCCAACAGATGTGGATCAGCAAACAAGAATATGATGAGTCTGGTCCATCTATCGTACATAGGAAATGTTTCTAGTCGGCTATCCCGTCGTGTTCTTTAGCTCACCTATGTACTGCGGAAATTATTCGATGCAAGTGACTTTGAAATCAAAAGCTATTAATAGTTCTGCAAAATATTTCCATTTCGTAGCTGATGTGACAGTATTGTGATTAAACTGTAATGCCTGTTTATACCGTGTTGTTTTATAGTTGTCTTTCGGGGGGGATTTTTGTAACATTTATATATATAAATAAATATAAAATACACAACAATAGGCAATATGTAAAACAGCAACTCCAACTGAAAATATTACACAATATTATATGTGATACAGTAACTTCAAATTAATCACACATAACGTAGTGAAATTAAAATGAGCCAAATTACATATCACAAGTTATACAACCGTCGTTTGATCCTCCTTTTACAACGCTTGTTGGTATGTTTAACTTACAAAATAATCATTCGGTAACTTTTTACGGGAAAATATGGGAAAATATTTTGCATCTATGTCCTTTCCATGTACAATAACACGAAAATGCCAACATACCAACATCATTTCAGATTAAATTCGTAATCAGTAAAACGAGACTGAAACACGAAGAAAGTAGAGGTTTAAACGGACACCCTTCAAAATGTACCGGCAGGATAAGCGCCTTCTGCTTCACCGACGTCATCAGAAATATATATTTAGATCAGTCCGTGTGAGCAATGCCACAACAAAGCAAGTTTACTTCATCCATACCACTCAAGAAAATGGAAAATATGCTGAGTTTGTCATGATAACACTCATCAAAGTTCTTCATTATCTTCATCAGTCTGAATCAGTCAAATTGATTTGTTGTGAGTTTCTCTGTCAGTAAGGAAGATCTTACAAGGAAATCGTGATATTCGAACAAACCATTGAATATCGGATCAACTGCAACATATAAGATATTCTGACACAGTAATGACACATAACATCATAATTTACCTTAACATAAAATCAATAATAAATATCTCTCTCTCTTTAATTGAGTTTTAGGTTTTATTTTTTATTTTTTATAAAAACAAAGAGTAATAATTTTGTATTGTATTGACAAGTTATATAGATAGAATAAAAGTTTAACACAATCAGTACAAAACTAGAGTGTGACATTTCGATGACTACACGGTCGCCTTCATCAGTGTGGAGCGTACTAATATTGAAGTAAGTAGTGTACGAGATGGTAAGGAATCAACTAACCTTTTCGGCTGTACTGTAATCCTATCGACACTGAGGTCTAAAATAGTGTCACGAGATCGTAAGGAATCGACCAACTTTTTAGGCTGTACTGTAATCCTATCGACACTGAGGTCTAAAATAGTGTCACGAGATCGTAAGGAATCGACCAACTTTTTCGGCTGTACTGTAATCCTATCGACAATGAGGTCTAAAATAGTGTGACGAGATGGTAAGGAATCGACCAACTTTTTCGGCTGTACTGTAATCCTATCGACAATGAGGTCTAAAATAGTGTCACGAGATCGTAAGGAATCGACCAACTTTTTCGGCTGTACTGTAATCCTATCGACAATTAGGTCTAAAATAGTGTGACGAGATGGTAAGGAATCGACCAACTTTTTCGGCTGTACTACCGATACAAAGGTCTCAAATAGCGTGACGAAATGGTAAACAGATTTTAGACAAAACATATGCAATGATGTACTGTATCAATTCGGCTACCCATTGTTTTGAATTTGTTCATAAATATGTAAAACAAAAATAAGATTCCCGAGTTAAGTGAAATTAATAATATGTAAACACCACAGATATGTTGTTGTCATTTGTTTCAATATTGTTACAAATTTAAGATTCGTCAATTCTTCAATTCATAAAGTGCACTTATTTATGACATTATCACCATCAAAATATCACGCTGATAGAGAAGGGAGTTAAATATGTGTCTGAAATGAACAGAACAAACCATAAAAATCTTATAGTAATTTGACTAGATCTTGATTCATTGTCCAAATAGAAGATTGAAATGTGTTCAATGTGTTCATGTGTCCATTATAAAACGGCACTATATTCCAGGTTTAACTGGCATAGTACTTGTACTCTATGAAAAACTATGAAAAAAGTCCAGTTTCCCGGCATCCTTAATTTTCAGGCTTAAAATAGACTGTGTATGATATAGTTGTGCTTAGTTAAACGTAAATTCGCTAAAAAAAAATACACGACGACGAGACCGACAGCAGGAAGGGATTTTGCCACCATAGACTCTTTTTCGCGATTTTCGTCGCGAGCGAGTCAAAAATTTTACTAAGACTGTCTAATGTACAACGTACTTTATTCATTTATATATAATGTCGGTATTTCAATAGTTTGATTAGAAAATAATGACCGACGAGGATGGGATTCGAACCCACGCGGGGAGACCCCAATGGATTAGCAGTCCATCGCCTTAACCACTCGGCCACCTCGTCTGTTGCCTACTGCTACCACACGATAGGAAGTTTGCTTGTCACCTAAGTACTCTTGCCACGTCAGTATCTCTTTTGATAATACGGTGACTGGTCAGAAATTACTGCCGTGCAAATCAAAAGACTATGCTGTTTCTGAGGAATTTAATTTACCTTAATTTATCTCATTTATATCTACCAGGAAACGAATTCATGTTATTTATATTTTGACGAACTAGATCTGCCTTTTGTTCTAGTGTTCAATTATAAGACATCAAATGAAATATAATAAATTAATTTATTGTAATAGCATGAACACAATTCAACTAGAATAAAAATATAAAATAATGACCGACGAGGATGGGATTCGAACCCACGCGGGGAGACCCCAATGGATTAGCAGTCCATCGCCTTAACCACTCGGCCACCTCGTCTGTTGTTTATGTGTACTTGACATCGATAATCAGAAAATTTACAATTAAAATGAAATCAATCGACATTTGAAAAACTATGTAAGAATAAGTGATGTATTCCTACACTACCTTCTGAAATGGAAAGAACGTGCTAGATCTGTTACTATGGAGAGCAAACGACAACTCAAATATGTGACAGTCTGCAACAAAGGCCTGAGGTAAAACATGTAAATTTAAATTCTCTCAGTAGAATGATAATCCATATTGATAATATTGATGTTATTGTCCAACAAACTGACAATACCTATAAACACATCCCGATTTTGTCAGCTTGATATTCTTTTGTATAAAAAATTTAAAGACATAAAGGTACACTATCTCAGTTCTGTTCTCTTCGTCAGTTCTCGTAAATGACACTAGATGTCACACAGCTCCAAGTATATCTTAGATTAATGAACATCTCTATCATTCTTTCCCAATGACACACTTTCCCAATTCCTTGATCAATGGTACATATATAAAATGTACACTGTGGCGGTTCATAAATCGAAGGTACACTTCCGCGGTTCATGGATCGATGGTACACTGTCGCGGTTCATGGATCAAAGGTACACTGTGGCGGTTCATGGATCAAAGGTACACTGTCGCGGTTCATGGATCGATGGTACACTGTCGCGGTTCATGGATCAAAGGTACACTGTGGCGGTTCATGGATCAAAGGTACCCTGTCGCGGTTCATGGATCGAAGGTACACTGTCGCGGTTCATGGATCGAAGGTACACTGTCGCGGTTCATGGATCGAAGGTACACTGTGGCGGTTCATGGATCAAAGGTACACTGTCGCGGTTCATGGATCGATGGTACACTGTCGTGGTTCATGGATCAAAGGTACACTTCCGCGGTTCATGGATCGTAGGTTCACTGTCGCGGTTCATAGATCGAAGGTACACTGTGGCGGTTCATGGATCAAAGGTACACTGTCGCGGTTCATGGATCGATGGTACACTGTCGCGGTTCATGGATCAAAGGTACACTGTGGCGGTTCATGGATCAAAGGTACACTGTCGCGGTTCATGGATCGAAGGTACACTTCCGCGGTTCATGGATCGAAGGTACACTGTCGTGGTTCATGGATCGAAGGTACACTGTCAAAGGGGGGTTCATGGATCAAAGGTACACTGTCGCGGTTCATGGATCGATGGTACACTGTCGCGGTTCATGGATCGAAGGTACACTGTCGCGGTTCATGGATCGAAGGTACACTGTGGCGGTTCATGGATCAAAGGTACACTGTCGCGGTTCATGGATCGATGGTACACTGTCGTGGTTCATGGATCAAAGGTACACTTCCGCGGTTCATGGATCGTAGGTACACTGTGGGGGTTCATGGATCGAAGGTACACTGTGGCGGTTCATGGATCGAAGGTACACTGTCGCGGTTCATGGATCGTAGGTACACTGTGGGGGTTCATGGATCAAAGGTACACTGTCGCGGTTCATGGATCGATGGTACACTGTCGCGGTTCATGGATCAAAGGTACACTGTGGCGGTTCATGGATCAAAGGTACACTGTCGCGGTTCATGGATCGTAGGTACACTGTCGCGGTCCATAGATCGAAGGTACACTGTGGCGGTTCATGGATCGAAGGTACACTGTCGCGGTTCATGGATCGTAGGTACACTGTGGGGGTTCATGGATCAAAGGTACACTGTCGCGGTTCATGGATCGATGGTACACTGTCGCGGTTCATGGATCAAAGGTACACTGTGGCGGTTCATGGATCAAAGGTACACTGTCGCGGTTCATGGATCGAAGGTACACTTCCGCGGTTCATGGATCGAAGGTACACTGTCGTGGTTCATGGATCGAAGGTACACTGTGGGGGTTCATGGATCAAAGGTACCCTGTCGCGGTTCATGGATCGAAGGTACACTGTCGCGGTTCATGGATCGAAGGTACACTGTCGCGGTTCATGGATCGAAGGTACACTGTGGCGGTTCATGGATCAAAGGTACACTGTCGCGGTTCATGGATCGATGGTACACTGTCGTGGTTCATGGATCAAAGGTACACTTCCGCGGTTCATGGATCGTAGGTACACTGTCGCGGTTCATAGATCGAAGGTACACTGTGGCGGTTCATGGATCGAAGGTACACTGTCGCGGTTCATGGATCGAAGGTACACTGTGGGGGTTCATGGATCAAAGGTACCCTGTCGCGGTTCATGGATCGAAGGTACACTGTCGCGGTTCATGGATCGAAGGTACACTGTGGGGGTTCATGGATCAAAGGTACACTGTCGCGGTTCATGGATCGAAGGTACACTGTGGCGGTTCATGGATGAAAGGTACACTGTCGCGGTTCATGGATCGAAGGTACACTTCCGCGGTTCAGGGATCGAAGTTTCACTGTCGCGGTTCATGGATCAAAGGTACACTGTCGCGGTTCATGGATCGAAGGTACACTTCCGCGGTTCATGGATCGAAGGTACACTGTCGCGGTTCATGGATCGAAGGTACACTATGGGGGTTCATGGATCAAAGGTACACTGTCGCGGTTCATGGATCGAAGGTACACTGTCGCGGTTCATGGATCGAAGGTACACTGTCGCGGTTCATGGATCGAAGGTACACTTCCGCGGTTCATGGATCGAAGGTACACTGTCGCGGTTCATGAATCGAAGGTACACTGTCGCGGTTCATGGATCGATGGTACACTGTCGCGGTTCATGGATCGAAGGTACACTTCCGCGGTTCATGGATCGAAGGTACACCAACTGACTTCATGGATCTTTAACAATATCTGTCCTTTATGTTTGTTATCCTTATTTTTCGCCGCTATGGTATTATCGATGATATATTACTTGTAGTAATAGTTTTAACGATATGTTAGTAAATTAATATCATACTAATTTTACCATATGTTATATATATCAATTCGTCATATTATGAATGTTATATGGTTTAATTCTATTAAAGTGTTCTCGACTGCATTCAAGGGCAGCCATTTTTTCTATCAAATATGTATCAGTAGTCCTTGAGAACAAGAAATTTAAAACGATAAACGAAGAGATGTGGATTCCAATCCAGCTGTGGATACGCAAATATTTTAAACCATCTCATCTGTTGTATATCATTACGCACAAATTTCCGACAATACGAACACTGTTTTTGTATACTTATACTTTTGATGAATAACCAACTTTACTTATAATATAGTTATTGTCTATTTATCGGAAGATGAATCGATGTCGTCAAAACTACAACTTATAGAACTTATTCTCTATTGATGATCCAAGCTTTTAACTATCAGAGTTACATATGAAGGTAATAGTTTTTTTCTCCTTTACACTAGATCTATATTCATCTGGATTTATTTGGACTTTTAAAAACTAAAATTGTATTTCGATCACCTATTTCTTTAAGTTTGTCTCTGTATGATACTTCATTTCAAGTGAATAGAACTTTCTCAATCTGTTAAAATGATAAACACCAACGACATTACCAAAATTAAGACTCTGAACTACAGCAAATGCCAAGGCCAACGACATTACAATTGTTTAGGTTCTGAACTATAACAAATGTCAAGGTAGATATACTCCTTATAAGGAAACTCCTTTAATTCGCTTGAATGATACTCCTTGTTGACAATACCTATGTTACTCTACAGGACACAGAGGTATTTATAAACCACGCCTCTTTCTACCAGTTTCCTTCATTTTTCCCTTTTCTCCCGTATTGCTGTTGTTGCTCGTTTGGAAACGTCACTTTACTTCCTTTGATTGACCAAGATTTACGTTGCGGATGTCGTAAATGAAGCAAAAAACGCTTAAGCTTCCGGAACACATGGTCTTATTTCTCCTTGTACTTTTTCAAGGTCTTCATTTAATTTTTTTTTTCGTTCATGTTTTTACTTTGACGAAAGATTCAGTTAACATGTCAGTAATTTCTTTGTTTTTAGGTATCGGTGCCTGCTTTTGCTAGTTCTGTTTTCTTTTCATACAAAGAAGTTATTAAAGACAGTTAAGTACACTGTACATATTCTTTCTCCTCCTCTCACTTTGGTCCTCATCAGTGTCTGGTCCCAGTTCTGCCATGAATCATACACTGTCCTAGTTCTTTTGATAGTTAAAACGAATGTACTATTGTTATACCCTGTGGAAAATTCAAGGCCTGATGCAGAACGAAATTTAAAACAATGACCGACGAGGATGGGATTCGAACCCACGCGGGGAGACCCCAATGGATTAGCAGTCCATCGCCTTAACCACTCGGCCACCTCGTCTGTTACACTTGTAGTGATACACAGCTATAATAATTTCAATTTTTAAAATGCATTCTGAAAACACTTCAAAATAAAATACGATTTCTTATAGTTATATATCAGAAAAATATAAAGAAAATTAGACTTTTTAAGTGTAAAAAATGTTCATGCTAAATTATTACACGGATGTTACAGGGTTACAGGCAGTAAGTGTACAAGGAAATAGAATACAGCAAAGGTATGCTATTAAAATCTCAAGTCTTATTGATAACAATCAGATTTGATCAAGTAAGTTAAACATTTTGAAAAAAACGTCACTCATACTCATGGAGGGTGTGTTTACATTTTAGAGCAATATATTGAATGGTGAACAATTGTATTAAATACTATCCTTACTATAGGTACGTATCTATTGTGACACGTAATTGAATATCTGTGGATAGTAAAATATGTGGGCATGCGCAAATATGTACTCACCTGTGACACAGTCAATTCATATAGAGTACTATTTCTGTGTATATATTTATGTTCGATAAGCCCACATAAGTAATAACTGTCCTCTCAACATCTGATCACGTGATTTTGCGTGTTAAGCTTTTGCCTATTGGTTCTTAAAGATATGACCATATAAGGCAATTCTGAACAGGATTTCAAGTAATTACAGGTATAAATTGAGGCGAAGCTCGAGACCGATCAGTTACTCGACAAATTTTATCAGGAAAGTCAGAACGTAGTAGTATAGGACTAAAAATAGCATTTCAAAATGTGTGACGATGATGTTGCAGCTCTTGTCATCGACAATGGGTCCGGAATGTGTAAGGCCGGATTTGCCGGCGATGATGCCCCACGTGCTGTTTTCCCCTCCATAGTCGGGAGACCCAGACACCAGGTAAGGAGACAAAAAGAATAAAATATGAAATACAGTCTTTAAAATTATAGAACTTATTGAAAACGACGATTGGATTTTAACTGTTACCTGAACCATTCAGTATGCTGCAAAATGTAATTATTTTATCGTTTAAATTTTTTTTCTAGAAAGTTATTTTCTAATCGGTTTATATTATAAGATATTATTGTAAGAGTTAAGGTTAGCACATTTTTCTTCAAAAACGGTAACAACAAATTTTATTAGACATGATCGCCGTTAATTGATCAAGAGTATTTGTAACAAAGCAGAACGCAACGTTAAGTCTAATATTGGAAATATTATGATCATATATGGTGTGGTGATGTATGACTTGGCTTGTCTTTCACAGTAAATTGTATGCTTAGTATATCCCAAACACTATAGCGATACAGACAAGTCTGAACACACCCGATACACCAAGGTTAATTCTGTAATCCGATTCTTATTCAAGCTACTTTGGTTAAAGGTATACACCGACAATTAAAATAAACGACCAGCGTACATTACCTACTACAATCAATAAGTTGATTCAATAGATAGAAAAGCTGAGACAGGAATCAGCTTTTGTTATTTAACTTTCCAATCGAAAACGATTATTCTTATCAGAGAACATCGTCGATCGAAGATACTTTAAATTGCACCCATGCGTTTTTATTTTTCGCAAAAATACTCTATGGAAAATAAAACATTTTTTTCGTAATCACAGGGAGTGATGGTTGGTATGGGACAGAAGGACAGCTATGTCGGTGATGAGGCCCAGAGCAAGAGAGGAATCCTCACCCTCAAGTACCCCATCGAACATGGCATCGTCACCAACTGGGACGATATGGAGAAAATATGGCATCACACCTTCTACAACGAGCTGCGTGTGGCTCCAGAGGAGCACCCCGTCCTTCTGACAGAGGCTCCCCTCAACCCCAAGGCCAACAGAGAAAAGATGACACAGATCATATTCGAGACCTTCAACTCCCCTGCCATGTACGTGGCCATCCAGGCTGTGTTGTCCCTGTACGCTTCTGGTCGTACTACCGGTATTGTGTTGGACTCTGGCGATGGTGTGTCCCACACAGTCCCAATCTATGAAGGCTACGCACTTCCCCATGCCATTATGAGGTTGGACCTTGCAGGACGTGATCTCACAGACTACCTCATGAAAATCCTCACAGAACGTGGTTACTCATTCACAACCACAGCTGAGAGAGAAATTGTTAGAGACATTAAAGAAAAGTTGGCATATGTTGCCCTAGACTTTGAACAGGAAATGACCACAGCTGCTTCTTCCTCATCACTGGAGAAGAGCTACGAACTCCCTGACGGTCAGGTCATCACCATTGGAAACGAGAGGTTCAGATGCCCAGAGGCTTTGTTCCAACCTTCTTTCTTAGGAATGGAAGCAGCTGGTGTTCACGAGACGGCCTTCAACAGTATAATGAAATGTGATGTTGACATTCGTAAAGACTTATACGCAAACACAGTTCTGTCTGGTGGTACCACCATGTACCCAGGTATCGCTGATCGTATGCAGAAGGAAATTACCGCTCTTGCTCCAAGCACCATGAAGATCAAGATCATTGCTCCACCAGAGAGGAAATACTCCGTCTGGATCGGTGGTTCCATCTTGGCTTCTCTGTCCACCTTCCAACAGATGTGGATCAATAAACAGGAATATGATGAGTCTGGTCCATCAATCGTCCACAGGAAATGTTTTTAAATTCAAACAAATATGTTCATTAAAGTGCTACTTAGATATCCCTATAAGCCGATATTGACTGAGATTTCTGAAGCGCGCACTTTACACGCGCTGCGTTGATATACTTTTCATAATATTTACATCGTCATTGTTTTTATAAGAAATATGAAAAAAAATCATGAATAAAAACGAAATAATGTTTTTACTTGTTTGTGTTTTAAACAAAGTCATTGTTATAAAACATCAGACAAGACCTTGCGGTTAAGGTAACACAAAATTATGATGTAAATGTTGATACAACTGCAGTACAAATAACATTTATGTATTTAGTGATATGAACAGTATAACGAACTTTTCGATCTAGTAACAACTATTAATCCCGCGTAATAGATTAAAGGGTCTTCAAAGGCATTCTACAGAGGCAGCATTTAATATGCTACCTTTGCTAACGAGTTTGCAATTTTTTACATCATCTCTAAAGATTAATACCGAAGCCCTTATCTTGTATTAACGTCATGGTAATTCATCAAAGCCGTTACTGCACAACAAGTCCCTGGTCTCAGGACCATGAAACGATATCATGTCTATTATACTGGAAGTAAGCCGTGAACGTTTTGCTTTACCAATCTTTAACATTTTTGCTTTGGTCAGTTATCAAATGGTACTTCAACAGAAATGCTAGTGATGATGATGATGATGATGATGATGATGATGATGATGATGATGATTAACAACTCTAGACTGGTTAATACGATAAGAAACAATCTATATATGACTGTGTTAGCTATCTGAAGTTGATAAACCACTGGATGAAAAGTGCATCATAACTCCTGTAAACAACGATGCCACCAACTAGGACTATGGAGAAGAACCAATGTCCATTTAAATCGTATGTTATACTTATGTTAAAGAGGCCATTATTTTACCTATCAGATGCAAGTTGAATTCAATACTTTCTGAGGCAACACAAAATCGTTCATGATAATGGCACCTTCACCTGATATCCTTACAATGCACGTAATCTAATTTTTCAAGTAACAAAAAGACTAGGCAATTCTCACTCATCATGTCATGAGTATTTTTACGCTCTGTGGTAACCTGATATGATTAAATCAGACAGGGAATGTTGCTTTCAATGGTCATGCACCAGAAAGGTATAGCGAAAACTTAAGCGTATCCATTTCAGATAAAAAAATTCAAAGAGATTAGAACCCTTTAAACATCATAACCAGTCTAATGGGACTTAGGACCACAACATGCTATTACGCTTTTTATCATAATTTCAACTACAAATATTTAATAAGTACCTGATGCAAGCATGGGCCCATTCTGATGTCTGATTTTAGATTAGAAACTTTAATGACTTCTGTAATGGATGGCCTTGGAAGTCAAATGTTATACTGAACATTATCTAGAGTTTAATTTTTATATATTGTTATGTAAAAGAATTACGTTAAGTTGGATAAAAAAAAGAAGACAAAACCGAAATAAGGTCAGGGTAGATTGTCTTACATAAAGAAATGATTAGATGAAGAAAATAAAAGCCACTGTTGTCAGATAAAGGTGATAGAAGTACAGAGCGTTAATGTCACGGTACTATTGTGAGATAATGTATGTTGAGAAAACACATGAAGCAACCATGAACGTAGTGAAAATATCATTATTATGATAACTTTGATAACACAGGTTGTTCACCTTCTGATCACTACATTTCATGGTGTCCCAGCAATTTAATAAAGTGATTAAATAGGGATAGTACTTGGATAAGTCGTATGTTTGGTTACTCTATCATCGGATATCCTAAATTTCCAAACTTTTGGTGTAAATGTAGCTTAGACACGGCAAGAGAATGTAATACGAAAGAGACTCAGAGAGAAGAGAGATATGACCATTTGATTATAGTTACAGTAATAGAAGTAACTGGAAATCTTAATGAGAAATGTTGCTTGGAAAATGATGTCCCCTAATCGTAAAAATCAACGTTCTAAAAGATTTACTATTTAAGAAATTTCATGTGATGTTGTGTATTGCATAACACAAAGACATTAGCTTTATGGATCTGCCCCACCCAATTATAATACACAATGATGAACTTATAAACAGTAGGTACATTAAGTATTTCCACTTTTTCAAAACATCATTACAGATATATATAAATATTGATATTTTAATGCAAATACAAAAACAAAATTCATTATAGATGTATTTTATCTCTCTGTTTCATTTACAGATGCCATATAAAGTCGTTTATTGTATTCGATCAATGAACTACCAATGGAGGATCAATGTTACTGAATTTATCTGATAATAAACTTTTTCATTGAGACTCATCGGAAAAGGTACAAGGAGTATAAGACCAGGTATTCCGCAAGAGTTAGAGTCTTCTGCTTCATGGACGGCACCAGTAAATAACGTCAGGTTTTCAAATGATAATACGGCATACAACGACGGTACTAACAGGCAAACTAATGAGCATTAAACACGTCAAGCTTTATTTCACACAATGTGATATAATATTCTCAATGGGGTCATTATGACAACGGTAAAATCAAGGCCATGCCAGCAATAAATTTAGTAAAAATAGACGACGAGGATGGGATTCGAACCCACGCGGGGAGACCCCAATGGATTAGCAGTCCATCGCCTTAACCACTCGGCCACCTCGTCTGTTGCACTTAAGTTAAAACGTAGCTGTAATTTCATTTTGATAGTGAACATTACGATCTATTCTGAATTTTGAATAAGAATACGTTTCATTCGATAAGTGACATTACCTTATCAAATGGAATATGCTCTGAGCAGAAATCTATTTACTTGACATAGAAATCACATATGATTGTAGTGCTAGATTTATATACATAATGTTATGCGATTTTGGCTTTCTATGGTATAGATGAAGCTTTTATTTTACATATTAACGCTATTTCACAATTATTAAACATGGACATTTACAACAATATCAAATAAGTGCCATCTCAAAGCATAGCTATTGAAGCCATTGACACACTTTGACTATTAAAAATCATATATATCAATAAAAATGTCGGTTAAACCGGAGAAAAAAATTCAGACGCAACATATTTAGTAACCTTAGGCATAGCAAGTGATCCGCCTTTAACTATAAACAGATCAGACGAGGTGGCCGAGTGGTTAAGGCGATGGACTGCTAATCCATTGGGGTCTCCCCGCGTGGGTTCGAATCCCATCCTCGTCGGCTATCGTTTTAAGCTTTATTCAACGTGCTCTTTCGATTTTGTTCAGACTACAAAGATTGAATCCATCTTCCACGTCTGACTGATACTCTCTACCTTCTAACCTTTAACCTCTGACAAAAGATAATACAGTCTAACCTGTTATAACGGCCACCTGCTTATAACGGCCGTTTTCAGACCCTCCCAATCGTTTTTGCTCATTAATGATACCTAATTTAACGTCCATCTGTCTAACGCGGCCAGTGGCCACCCATTTCGTCCCAAACTCGCGATCGAACCTCGTTTAAACGGCCGTTTTGACCACAAGTCATTTGACAAGCTTTCTGGACTGGGAGTCACGTTTTCTCGCCACGTGAACATTCCTACAAAGAAAAGAGCTGTTGGCACGTAAATACAATTCAACATGCATTTTATATTGAGTTTGATTTCATTTACGTCACTGTTATACACAATACAGGCATATTAGCACTATTGTGGCAAATCACTTCGAAATATGAGCAGCAAACGAAAAACTTTAATTCTTGAATATGTATCGAAAACCGGTATTTTACGTTCGATAGATATATCGGATCGAAAGTTTCTGTATCGAACAAAATATCGATCATTAAGAGAGAATAAATGCACTGTCGAAAAATACCACATTTAGTTTTTGTCGATCAAATTACATTGCGAGTGTTTTCGCTTCGTAAAATCAACATTTCGCCAGAATAGAGAGCTGCTATCCGTGACCTGAGGTCATGAACATTAATGAGGAGTAGAGTAAAACCCAGAAACATTCCCGACAACAGGTAACTAGGATGAGAAATTTTATAAAGAAATGTTTTAATGGACAGAAAGCAAAAACAATGCAGTGGTGCGTTTTCGAAGGTTGTAGGAACAATAAATACAATACTGGAGTGTTTCCGCTCCGTCGCCATTTTTCGTGCGACGCCCACTCTAGATTCTAGTCTTTACTGGATGTCGTTTAGACATGGCATCGAGTGTTTAAATAATAACAGATGATGTTTTATATCTAATTATTAAACTGTATTCAAATGTCAATGTGCAAATTGCCGCAACTTGGGTTCGAAAATAAGGAACCTCAATTAAGAGGCCACCTCTCTATAAAGGCCACTTTCATAATTTCCCAACAGTGGCCGTTTAATACAGGTTAGACTGTAGTTTCAAGCTGGCACAGACAGTTTAATATATATATCAGGAGTGGTCGAACTTGAAGTAAAGTTAATAAATGGCAGTTTATAGTAACTAGAAACGTATATATGCATTAACATAAGTAACAGTCTTCTCATCCTCTAAACACATTCAATGTGGTCACATGGCCACAACATCAGTTATATGGTCGTTCAGATTGAAACATCAAAAAGCGTCAGCCGGAATCTCTACTAATGGAAGTAAAGAAAAGTATTGAAGAACCATGCCGATAGTTTTTTGAGGACTCAAAGACCATCAGATATTGAAACCAAGTACAGTCGTACCAGCAGGATATATCTCTACTGTGCTACTTGAACCTATCGGTGATAGAAACGGCATGACGTTTGTTTAAAGACAGCATTGATATGACCTTATCAAGGACAATACCTGCCTATAACCAGACATCCCTTACATAACATAAAACGGCAACTGAGAGAGACATTTCTGTTTTAATCATTGAAATAGCATCGGTTTATTTCTGTCTAGATATAAAACTATAAAAGACAACATTTGAAATATTTTCTACCTTTTTAACGACAAACACATTTTAATGAAAGCATTTAAAATGGAAGTATACCAGCATTTCGTGTGGACAATGGATGGGCCGAATTCATACACCTGTTAGCTGATCCACATCTGTTGGTAGGTAGATAGGAAAGCCATGACGGAGTATTTGATTCAGGGGATATGTTCTCTCTTGTACAACACTAGCAGCTAAAGTGTAAAGTTCGTTCTGTAAACCTTCAGTTTTTTTCAGGCAATGTATTTGCATACTAGCATTTACGAATATCAACATCACGCTTCGTTATACCGCTGTATTTCGGTGTGAGTACTAGCACGCTTTTTTTCCTTAATGAGAGTGTTTGAACATGGCTTCTGGAGGTCCCGAACATTCCGTGCCTATCAGTATGAAATTGCCTTGCGGAAGTTCATATTCCTTCCCTAAGTCCTGAAGATTCAGCCGATATAGACATTTTCTGTGTCAAGTGAAGGGCAATCTGTGTCATTTTTATCTTTAGTGTCTCTGACAATTTGTCTCTCAGCTTTGGTTGTAAATAAATGTAACTACTCTCAGTGAGGATATTTATGAGGTAAGAGGTTACGTTCAACGAGATCTAAGACCCCCTCTGATGGGTACGCAATGGGTCACAACATCCATGACACAATCCCTACGACCAACGCGGTATGTATATGACAAGGTGTCGTACAATCTATTTTAATTAAATCGATAAACCTGTACCAATCTTTAAACCTACCGTCCTTCTTTCTTTCAGTCGCTCGATTAACTTATCATTCAATCTTTCTCTAAGTTTATCAGTCTCTAATTTTTACAAGTGTATAAATATACAACACTGACCATCATCTACTTTTCATTCATAATCCATTAATATATGTTTTCATTCTATTATAAAAGAGTGATTAAATGTGTTCTTTTCCCCAGAGTTAAACACTTCAGTCAGGTGTCACTTTAACGTTTCCATTTAAAGACAAGTTTATCTACAGTTTGAACTGTAGTAACTGTATCACGTGATTTCATTGTCACCTACAAAGGGAATTGTTTCAAAGTAGGTTAAATACCCTAGTTATGCACGCAGTCCCAATACTAATCTATACCTCTTATTTAAGAAAGGAACGGTTTTGACGTTTATCATGTCTCTCGTGACATTTTAAATCACGTTGAAACAAGCCTTATAATGCATTTTCACTCGAAATTATCTAAGACGAGTTAATGTACTTACAGACATATATTTGGTTTGGATTTTTGTCAGCTTCGCATTTTCTTGATCATTTTTCGACCAGTTTTAAATTCGCTCTAAAATTATATAAACATCTATTGTTTTTTTTTCACACAATCTTCTTAGCACCTTTCATTTTTGTCGTGTCAGCAGTAATAGTCTCCTTATCTCTGTTATACCTCAGTTAATGAACTGGATAAAAAACAACAAGAAAAAACCAACATGTCATAATAGTCATAATCAAAACTCATTAGTGTTTAATACATATGATTCATGTAAATGTACATATAATTAATACATAACAATGGTAAATATCATCATGATCATTTTGCTTAAACTGTATAAAAAATGAATAGAACCGGAAGGTATATAAGGGAGGTAACTTCGTTGGTCCTAATACAAACGCTGTACTTTGACTTACTTATCACTATGATACAATGTACGAATTATTTACTTATCGTGTTTCAAAGGTTTAAGGCCCTGACTTATCAATTTCTTTTGTTCCTTTTAATAATTTGAATACGAAATTGGATATTGACGACTAGTGATCTTGATTATAATTGCTATGGAGACCTCCGTTTGTAGAAATACATCAATGCTGCCCAGTTAGGTTATTTGTTGGTAAACTAAATTGTCTGCAGACATTTGCAATGTCTAGCTGTGAAAATGGCATCAAATATCAATAATTATCATATTTCGGCTGGCTAGGACTCGGCGTTTTATTTGGTTTCAACTATAACACTCATCGCTTACATCATTACACAAAACATAGTCACGAATCAAAGTGAAATATTCAAGGCTCAATCATCACAATTTATTCTTACCTTCTTCGTCGTTTATATTACTAAGTATATTAGTTCTCTGCAAGTCAGTAGTACATATACGGAAACAGCCATCACGCTGAATTCTACTCTAACCTGAATTAGACTATTCCACTATCAGTGGTATTGATTTAAACATATTCTTCCTTCCAGCTTCTGGACATGTTTCAACTGATATGGTAAGGATAAGGCATTTTCAAGCCTTGGAACCGTCGTCAAAATCTAGTAAAATCAAAAGTTCACCGCAACAGACAGTCATATCCCTATGAGGAGGTTGCAAGTCTCCCCCTTACATCGCCATAACACTGACGTTCGTTAGACGATACCCGGAAACGAAAGGAGTCGTACAGACGGAAAACCTGTCATCCTACCAACTATATGTTTATTAGATATAGTCCAGGGATACATCAGAGATACCAGGCGTTCCAATTAAACAACTACGATTTGTTTTAAATTTCAGCTGCTTGTAGTTTTAAGTTGCCTATAAATACTTCATTATGACTGGTTATTCACTATATCGATGTAAGTGTATTAACAGGTATTGTCAGTTTAGTGACAAATACACTTAAGATGTCATCCAAAATACTGTTAGAAAAACTAACATTCGATCCTCGTCTTCAGAAAAACCACGATTCTCATTCTCTGGTCTATTGTCGATGTTATCGCCTCCTCTCTGGTATCGACGATAGCAAACGTTATGTTATTCATCGTCCCCTTTGTCATATGTTACAAGTTATTTCCTTGTAACACTGGCTGTTTAGAAAATGGTTTCAGAATTACGTTTTCTGGAAAGGCAATATGAGAAAGGAATAAAGAGTGCAATTGGAACGCACCAAATACCATGTAAAAGTACATTAATTTTGGTAATATTTCTGTGTCTATTCAAGGGTGACAAATAAGTCCTACTCCTAAAATACGTTACTGACATTAAACATTATCTATTTATATCCAGGGAGATTATGACTTATGATCATAAGTTTCTTTCCGCGTTATCCTCTTTCCAAGCCCATATTGTTATGTTTTAGCTGTGCAGTTGACATTTTTGATAGAAATCACAGAAATGTTTATCTAGAAAGGGGGAGGTTCCTGAATGGTAATGTAAAGGTATGACAGTGTAGTGTAGTCCTTCGTTATGTCATGCAGTACGCTTCAGTCGATGGTGAACAGCTAATAAACTTGAGTCTATTTAACTGTTCTTCATTAAAAGTTTTATAACATTTACGATATCAATGTTTGTAAAAGATATCTCTCAGTTGAAATAAAACAGGGTTCTACAGAGAAGTCACTTGATTAAATGTCAGCCAAGAGAAATACAGTTTGTTTAGTAATAGACTGTGGAAAACGTTGCCATAATACTAAGCAATGTTTGCCTTATTCCTTTCAGACATTGCACGATATGTGCGTCCGTGCAGTTTACAACAAGATACCACCTCCGCCTAACGTGGAAAGGTAGAGTGCAGAGAATGAATTCTTAAATAAGAAATCGTTACATGTGAAACGTTCAAACTACTTCAATTTTCCCTTTTTTTTTTCTTTTTTTTTGACTTTTTTACAATATACATTCTGCTTATCGAGTCTACGTAGCGAGATATCTGTTTGGTGGTTTGAGTGAACATCTATTGATTAATGGTTTTTATAGATTCTTTTACGATTCCAATAAGTCGGACCAGTGTAAATCCTTGTCTCCTCAAGAAGTACGACTGGGTCTCGTTGTTCGCGAATGCGTCTATCGAAACAAAAACAACATTTCATGGTTAAGGATATTAAAGGAAGTGTTGCAGCTACATCCTGTCACAGATAATATCTATTTATGTAAACAAAGGATCTTGCACGAGCGTCGATTTAACATGAATTTATTAACCAATCGATAATCTGATGATATATAAACATAGCAAATATACAATGTTAATAAGTCAGTATGTTATGTTAGATATTGCACTGGTTCTAAATGAAAACGAAGTAATTGCCCTGCACACTTCGTGACATAATATTTTTCTGTACAAATCTTTTTTTTTTTTTTTTTTTTTTGGTTGTCTAATATTGACAATTTACAATTTACTAATGAACTAACTAACCAACCCTCGCCTCCATCCAATTTTGACCCATTTCGTTGAGAGTCCACATAATAAAAACTGAGCTTTTAAATAGCAAACTATATGCACCAGACCTTAATACATACTCCAGAAAGAAATGTGCTTATTACCGAAAGGTCCCAAGTGACTCCCTTCCTTTCACTATTGATTAGCAATCAATAACCTATAACAAAAATGAGTGATAACTAACCACTGCATTCCTTATAAGGTCAATGAAATTATATCTATAGTGAAACTTCAACTGACATTCAGATCATTCGATACGTTTCTCAAAAATTCATACGAATTGAGTATAGAATTATACAATTATAGGTATAATAACATTTTTTTTTTAAAAATCTTAAAAGCACTTTCGATGGACAAGACTAGGTCCAAATTCCTCGTATTCATCCTTACTGATACACTTAGTAAGAAAGGTTGGCAATGCCGCCATCATAGAACCTCCTAACCATGCACTGTTTCGTCTGTCCGGTGGGGAAATCACACAACATGTTGTGCCAGCAGGTGCTAAATTATTTAACTCTTTCTTCAAACGGTTCTCTATACCAGGCAGTAGAGAGGAACCTCCAGACAAAACAATATTACCAAACATATCGGCTCTGAGGTCTTTGTTACATCTCATTATAGAGTAATAAAGTGTCTCGTGAATACCAACACGTTCGTTCCCCACCAAAGCCTGATCGAAAAGGCATTCAGGGCACATGAATCTCTCCCTGTCGATTCGGATAACGTCTCCGTTAGGAAGGGTATAACTCTCTTGGGGCGAAGCTACAGATGACATTTCCTGCTCAAAATCTAAAGCAACATAACAAAACGTGTCTTTAATATCTCTGGCTATTTCTCTTTCAGCTGTGGTTGTGAATGAGTAACCACGCTCTGTAAGAAGTTTCATGAGGTAGTCTGTGAGATTACGTCCAGAAAAATCTACTTTTGGAATGGCGTATCGAAGGTAACACTCCTCATAAACGGGTACTATGTTTGTCATACCTTCCCCCAAGTCCAGCACAATACCGGTGGTACGACCAGAAGCGTACAGGGACAATACAGCCTGGACAGCCAAGTGCATGGCTGGAATGTTAAAGGTTTCGAACATGATCTGTGTCATCTTTTCTCTGTTGGCCTTGGGGTTGAGGGGAGCCTCTGTCAGGAGGACGGGGTGCTCCTCTGGAGCCACACGGAGCTCGTTGTAGAAGGTGTGATTCCAGATCTTCTCCATGTCGTCCCAGTTTGTGATGATGCCGCACTCGACAGGATACTTGATAGTGTACTTTCCTCTCATCTTTTCGGCCTCATCACCGACCAAAATATCGCCATCAGGTATGTCTCCTGGGCCCTGTTAAACATATGTACATTGAGTTTCTTTTCAATGATCGGAAATTTAAATAAGAGAAAGAAACACAGAAAGAATCAGTATCTTAAGTAATCTACTATTAAAAAATTTTACGTCGTGTTTGTATTCTTCAAATATCGCATACAATGGGTACAATGAAGGATTTGGATGTATATCTTATTCCATGGTACAATGTGGTGATATTAGTTAGTCTGGGTCCACATCTTCAGTTCGGGGAATTTCTTTACTGCTGATGTGCTGATATATTTCATACTTGCTATGATTTTATTTAATTCTAATTTGTATATTCCATGACTATATCGTACCTTACATCTAGGTCTCCCAACAATAGACGGAAACGTGGCCGGACAAGGACCTCCGGCGAGTCCAGCTCTGACTGTTCCAGAACCATTGTCAATAACAACAGCAGGCCTGTCCATTTTACTTGCTCTAAATAAATGATACGTCCCAACATAAAGCAATTGTTTATACAAAATTATCGTTAATTAGATGTTTATTAGTGCAAAAATAATTAGCCATATATGGCGATATTGGTATTCACACAGCATCACCTTGATATCTGTCAAAAGTCGTCTTGACTATATTTGTCAATAAAATAACTTTGTCGTGCTATAAACATATCTACTCGATGGTATTGACCTTTTATCACATGACTAACGCTATGATGAAAATCTCGCCATCCTCGTTATCCCGGTTGTTACGACCACTTTCGCAGAGAGCGAAAGTAATTGTAACCCCCTGATATCTCTCTAGAGATGGTATGAGGGTCTTTATACATATGTGTACATACAGGTAGTATAATGGTATACAAACAAACCTCCATTTATATACACAACGTTAGTACGCCACACTCTGGATTATCAACACTACTATACACATATGACTCACTAGAGATGTTCATAAAATCAACAAGCATGACTGAGCAAGTATACTAGTTTCAAGGTGTTTACAGTCTTACATGTGAATATACGTGCATTTTAAAAGAAAAAGAAACGAAGAAATAAAGTAGTGATATTTTAAACTGAGACGATTGTTTGGCTGAGGAAATAGTGTCTAAATCATATACAGGTATATATTACTGATACTACACCTGTTCAGATAAACGAGATCAATCACTAAATCTGATATATATCAGATTTTTGGCTATTAGTATAACTTTTAACGTTAGACACCTGTTAGAAATACCTAAATATACATATACATACCTGACAACGGCTACAAAATCCACTTAGAGAAGTCATCGTCTTCAGATGTCAGCAACCGGAAGTAAACATGCGACAATAATGACTAAATAGTGAGGGGGAAAGTCGGGTTTTTTTATCCGCTAAGATATATTGAAATGCAGCTGAATAAAGAAAGCTTTCATTGATATGGAAAGTAATGTAATGTAAAAATATAACAGCATTATGAACAGCATAATATGTAAAGAGACTATCTATAGACAAAACATCAAAAGCATTTAGCTGACATTTAAAAATCATTTGGTCACAAAAAAAGGAATTCGAAGCGTTATACACCACGACAACACCGAGTGGCAAGCACTTAACACATCATATCATAACTGACATTGTTGAAAGGTTATGAGTTATTTCACAAGCATGCAATAACAAATAGCTGCACCAATAGGGTTATACAATATAAAACTCGATTTATGTTCAACATCATACCTAAGCGGCCAAACTGATTCGACACAAAAAGTTTTCTGTTCTGATTCAAATTCATTAAAAGAAATAAAAAGAAATACTGTTAACCACGGTATCAAAACGGATATAACCAACGTATACAATTATCCTACAAAAAACTCCACATCATCTTCCCTATTACTGATATTATCCTACAAACAACCCACCAGTATCACCACAACTGTTTTTTCTATTATCCTACAAACAACCCACCAGTATCACCACAACTGTTTTTTCTATTATCCTACAAACAACCCACCAGTATCACCACAACTGTTTTTTCTATTATCCTACAAACAACCCACCAGTATCACCATCAGTGTTACTGATATTATCCTACAAACAACCCACCAGTATCACCATCAATGTTACTGATATTATCCTACAAACAACCCACCAGTATCATCATCACTGTTACTGACATTATCCTACAAACAACCCACCAGTATCACCATCAATGTTACTGATATTATCCTACAAACATCCCACCAGTATCACCATCATTGTTTTTTCTATTATCCTACAAACAACCCACCAGTATCATCATCAATGTTATTGATATTATCCTACAAACAACCCACCAGTATCATCATCACTGTTACTGACATTATCCTACAAACAACCTACCAGTATCATACTCAATGTTACTGATATTATCCTACAAACAACCCACCAGTATCATACTCAATGTTATTGATATTATCCTACAAACAACCCACCAGTATCATCATCAATGTTACTGATATTATCCTACAAACAACCCACCAGTATCACCATCAATGTTACTGACATTATCCTACAAACAACCCACCAGTATATCATGTTACTGATATTATCCTACAAACAATGTATATCAATGTTACTGATATTATCCTACAAACAACCCACCAGTATCGCCATCAATGTTACTGATATTATCCTACAAACAACCCACCAGTATCACCATCAATGTTACTGATATTATCCTACAAACAACCCACCAGTATCATACTCAATGTTACTGATATTATCTACAAACAACCCACCAGTATCACCATCAATGTTACTGATATTATCCTACAAACAACCCACCAGTATCACCATCAATGTTACTGATATTATCCTTCAAACAACCCTACAGTATCATACTCAATGTTACTGATATTATCCTACAAACAACCCACCAGTATCACCATCAATGTTACTGATATTATCCTACAAACAACCCCCAGTATTACACTCAATGTTATTGACATTATCCTACAAACAACCCACCAGTATCACCATCAATGTTACTGATATTATCCTACAAACAACCCACCAGTATCATCATCAATGTTACTGATATTATCTACAAACAACCCACCAGTAATACCATCAATGTTACTGATATTATCCTACAAACAACCCACCAGTATCACACTCATTGTTACTGATATTATCCTACAAACAACCCACCAGTATCACACTCAATGTTACTGATATTATCCTACAAACAACCCACCAGTATCACCATCAATGTTACTGATATTATCCTACAAACAACCCACCAGTATCACACTCAATGTTACTGATATTATCCTACAAACAACCCACCAGTACCATACTCAATGTTACTGGTATTATCCTACAAACAACCGCCAGCATCACCATCACTGTGAGTACTTTTATCTACAAACAACCACCAGCATCACCATCACTGTTAGTACTATTATCTACAAACAACCGCCAGCATCACCATCACTGTTAGTACTATTATCTACAAACAACCACCAGTATCACCATCACTATTAGTATTATTGTCCTATTAACAAACAGTCGCAACGTTATCCATAATAATTTTCTAAATGAATATTTCTATGTGTTTGTGGTCGAGAATAGAAATATTACCCGTGTTGTTGTAATTTTGTTATTTAACATGAAAAGTATAAAACCAAATGCTTAATATGAAGTTTTGAATCACTAAAAATTCTATATAGAACAATACTTGTTTATTTTACTACCCGTATTCTCACAAACAATATTCTGTTTCATTAAGTGCGCTTTTTCTTATCAAGATAAAAGGAATAAATACATGTTTGATGATAAATTCGCCTTTTACACCATTAGATGTTTTATATACATACAATAGAGAGTTGACAGTGATGACATACGTGTATATAACATAGTTTTCACGATTTAAAACAACCTCTTGTTCACATTTGACATCATACCTTCTGCTAAACACCTTCACCAAATCAGAAATAGAAGCCAAGATGGAGACACAAAACTAGTAAGAGCTTTTCTTATCACGATATCGTCTTTGTCCGACGGAATTCTTTCTGTATACGGTCAGTGGTGCCGGAATATATAGATGCACATATCACACATATATCTACAGTATAAAAGTTTGAGAATGATACAATCACACACTACATGGCAATAAAGAACTGAGCCGGAAGGCTATCTTTCCTTCATCATGATAAACACATTGAATGGTATGAAAAGATGTATTAGGCTACCTTGGGGGTGATTGGTAGGATAATGATACAATAATTCCTGTTTACTAGCAACAGGTAAATATGACTAAAGGCAGGTAAAACTTAAAGACAATTCACAGACAAAATGTTAAATTATGGAAATATCCTGAAAACGAGACAGGTAAAATAAGAGCGCCATTGAAACCAAAACAGGTTGAAGAGGAGGAAGGGTGAATGAATCTCCCAAAAGGCATAGAGGATATTTAATAGTGTCTTCAGTAATAACAAGTGTTTCTGATATCTTAGTATATTTCACGAGTACGCAGCAGATGATTTGTGTTCTCTCTATGCATTGTTGTAAGTCTGCAAAAGTGTTATTAAATGAAAATTAACAATATGATATTCTCTATATTTCACTGTGATCAAGGGATATGTTTAGTACTAAAGACGTGTTCAAACAAATATTAAAGTTTAATCTAGTTTTATGGGCAAAAATATTAAAAGACGATTAGCAAGTTATATATAGATATTTATGTATAGATATATATATATAAACTGTTCTGTAGTTCATATGTGGAAATCAAAACGAGTGTGGGTTAAATTAGAGGCTTCATTTTAGCGGTTACATTGTCAAACAATAAAAAAACAAGTTCAATGTTAAGATAAGACTGCTGATGCAATATTCTAAATTTACACAGAATCAAGACCAATCGATCATGGAAAACGATTGCTCTGTCTGGTAATGTCCGGCAATGCGCCGCCCATCTCTATTATCTTATTACATTTTGTCTAAATTCCAAACTGTGCACCAGAGTCGTACATAAATAGTCTGTCTAAAACGTGTATATAGCAGCTAATCATGCTTTTCTGTTAAGTACAATATATTTGTTATATCAAGCCACTGATTCTAGCTAGCCATGCCGTATAACCCCTCTCCACATTTGTATGTAAAGGGTGCTTACGACGACGAAGATTTTACTCCATCTTTTAAAATTGTGGTTTAGAAAGTATTGACATTGCATTTCAAACGAAATGAAAAAAGCAGCTTAGAGTATCTTGTAATTGATTTGAATCAAATCGCTTAAATGAATAACAAATCACATTGTCTACCATTTTAATAATAGATAACTTGACACACATTTTTTTTCATACCAACATCTCGCGTGAAATAGTGTTAGATTCTTACTCAGGAAGTCAGATATTCTAGAAAATAATTTAACTCTAGGCATTTTAACTGTTTGTAAATACTGAGGAGAGAGCGCCGTTTTTGACGTGCCACAACACCGTCTTCTATTGCATTATACACGACTTGTAGATGTACTCTATATTTTAACTTTCTAACTGCATATCAATCTTTGGTAATTACTATGTAATCAATCAAAGAAGTTTAGAAAAAAAACCTGAAAAGTACATTACGTAACCGTCAACTTTGATTAGGGATAAGTAGCACGAGTTAGGTAAAAGCTCTAATCTGTTCTAGAGGTGTAAATGGTGCAACACTAGCGATCATTCTTGCTAGCAATTGACAGTTTTACATTGTCAAACATTATCTATCTGTCAACTTGTCTGATCCAAAATGCTTGACCGGACAGTCGATTGTCACCTAAAGGTCATTTTGTCTGGTCATCATTGTAATGGCTGTAAACGACGACAGCACGATATGGTGATGATCTCGTTAGTTTATTCCAGTCGTTCTCGTCTGTACAGGTCAAACGTTTTGATGACTTCTAGATCGACGTCTTTTACAACCTTGACTCATCCCAGTGTTATTCATAAGTTTCGATCGATGTCCTAGAGCACGCGCATATTTGAAGAAAAAAACTACCTGCCAACCGACTTCCCTCCAATGCTGTTCTCCATATCTAGCAAAATCTGCATACTCGACACCAAATCTTCGTACAACTTTATCAGATAGAGACAATGCGGGATTTAAAACCAAAACTAGCGATTTTTAGATCAATATCTACTCCATTGTGACAATATTGCATCCGACCTTTAGTCCATAGTGTACAAGTACTCCATCAAAAAATCAGAGATTTTATCGCCTTTTTTTCAATTCTGAACAAGACATCAACCAGATTTCAGGACAAAGCGAGATAAGGTATATAATAGTCAGTAGCGTTACACCTGTGAACGTGATCAAGCACTGTAACTAACACACTGAACACCAACATATCCTATAAACTATTAAAGGGGCGAACTAGGGGACAGGCTCGATCAATCCATAAATCGAGATCTCGGTGCCGTTGTTAGCTTTTATAAACATTGTAATTAACATATTTTTGTATATCGGACAAACAAAGTGTCCGTTAAGCATTTTGAATATTCACGAATACCCATTCGGATTGGAAGCTGTAGGTTTTTTTTTTATAACATACGATACCGAGATGCGACGTGGATATTTTCAAATATAAAAAAACATAAGTAATAAAATATTTCTTAAATATTTTAATTGATCAACATTCAGTAAAAACACGAACAAGAAGATGAATATAAATGATCGATGATTGCAGTCACACAGCTTTCACACAATTGTCTTTCCACATATGTCATGGTGAAATGAGCAAATATAAATACGGCATGCATTGTTTGTTTAGTTTAGAAACATTTCCTATGTACGATAGAGGGACCAGACTCGTCGTATTCCTGTTTGCTGATCCACATCTGTTGGAAGGTGGACAGAGAAGCCAAGATGGAACCACCGATCCAGACGGAGTATTTCCTCTCTGGTGGGGCAATTATCTTGATCTTCATGGTGCTTGGAGCCAAGGCGGTAATTTCCTTCTGCATACGATCAGCGATACCTGGGTACATGGTGGTACCACCAGACAGAACTGTGTTTGCGTACAAGTCTTTACGAATGTCAACATCACATTTCATGATACTGTTGTAGGTCGTCTCGTGAACACCAGCTGATTCCATTCCCAAGAATGAAGGCTGGAAAAGAGATTCGGGACAACGGAACCTCTCGTTTCCAATGGTGATGACCTGACCGTCAGGAAGTTCGTAGCTCTTTTCCAGAGTTGAAGAAGAAGCTGCTGTGGTCATTTCCTGTTCAAAGTCCAAAGCCACATAGCACAATTTCTCCTTAATGTCTCTGACGATCTCCCTCTCAGCTGTGGTTGTGAATGAATAACCACGTTCTGTGAGGATTTTCATGAGGTAGTCTGTGAGATCACGTCCTGCGAGATCTAACCTAAGAATGGCGTGGGGCAAGGCATAACCCTCATAGATGGGTACACAGTGGGTCACACCATCTCCAGAGTCCAACACAATACCGGTAGTACGACCAGAAGCGTACAGGGACAACACAGCCTGGATGGCCACGTACATGGCGGGGGAGTTGAAGGTCTCGAACATGATCTGTGTCATCTTTTCCCTGTTGGCCTTGGGGTTGAGGGGAGCCTCTGTCAGGAGGACGGGGTGCTCCTCTGGAGCCACACGGAGCTCGTTGTAGAAGGTGTGATGCCAGATTTTCTCCATATCGTCCCAGTTGGTGACGATGCCGTGTTCGATGGGGTACTTGAGGGTGAGGATTCCTCTCTTGCTCTGGGCCTCATCACCGACATAGCTGTCCTTCTGTCCCATACCAACCATCACTCCCTGAAAGGATAACAAAACACTTCATGATATACATGTTTGATTGTTGTGTTTCCAAGTACCCGAGTACTTTAAGTAAGTTTTATTAAATAGAAAAGTCGAGTATATCTGTGTTTCGAACTTGTCAGGTGTAGATAAAATTGAATCGAAACTGAAAAATCATTACAGAATTTACAGAAAACGTAAATCTACGAAATGTATAATTGCTTCGTGTGGAAAGGAATGGAATGTATGTAATCCGGGACTTCAGAAGATGTAACACAAGAACGGACCACAGGGGTCTAGTGTAAGCACACATACTGATTCCGTACTGATGGTATATATACATAGGTCAAAGGTCATATTGACTAATCACAATGGTAGCCTGACGGGTCATGGTAGGTATATACTATACGGTTCAGTGATATATCCGACCTCGAATAGAGGTTACAGAAACAAAACTACAAACTAAATTTTATTAATCCAGTAAATAACAAAATAAAAATGTAAATATTTACTCATAAACGTAGAAAAGTATGTATTTATGATTTTGCCATCTAATTAATAATAAGGATGTTTCACATGTCAAGGAAGGATAATTGTCTGAACCCCATTGTATCATTCACAGAATAAAGATATAAAGACGGATTGGATTTTTATTTTTTTCTTATTTTTTTTTCAAAACGCAAACGACAAATAAGTATCTATGTCATTACAATACATGACGAGAGAAATTTACTGACAATCTACACAGATACGAGTTTCGGAGAGATAAGAAGTGCCTGTGTTCTCTATAATTCTACAGATTAAACTCCTTACCTGATGCCTTGGTCTTCCGACTATAGAGGGGAAAACAGCACGTGGAGCATCATCACCGGCAAATCCGGCCTTACACATTCCGGACCCATTGTCCACAACCAAAGCAGCAACATCGTCGTCACACATTTTGTCTGTAAGTTGGTTTTCTTCGCTCGGTGTTCGATGTTAAGCTATCGCTGGTTAGAACCGTACTGAAGACTACGGACCATGCCCGTGCTTATATATCGTACGGTGTCACGTCATAGAGCTGTTCTGGGAAGTGCGTCTCGTTAAGCCGAAGCATGCCCTTATATGGATGTATCCGCCAGGTAAAATACTGTACAGTTAGTCATATAAGGTGTTGTCTACGTTGAGTCGTTGATCGCACTACTACACACACACTACAAAACGTTTACTAGACCGATGTAAAACAGGTTTCTGTATACTGTGTATAATCATAGAACTATCATCTTACGAACTTTATTTAATCAATAACTGTTTTTTAAACCCCGTGCGGGAGAAAATTAATTGGTACGATTTTAGGATTCCGCGCCGCGGTATTCAACACTTAAGTTTAAACATTTTATTTAATTATTCAAATATGATGAATGCCCAGGTCAGTCTAAGGTTTTGATGTAAGGTTTAAAAGTAGGTAAAATTTTCAGAATTTTAGATTTCTGAAGGTGGTTTATAGTTATTATTCAAATGTGATGAATGCTCAGATCAGTCTTGGGTGGTGATATGATATAAGCTTTAAAAGTAGGTCAATGATCAGAATTTTAGATTTCTGAAGGTGATTTATCAGTACTCAGGTCTAGCCTTAAGGTACCCGATTACATAAAGAATTGGTAAACATCTTGTAAGTAGGTGTGTATGTTGACTGGACGCCAGCAGATTGTCACCGGGAAAAGTCACCACTGTAGGCAGATAAGGCGTGTAATGGCGGAACTAAGGTGGGGAAATGTTTGTGGGAGTACCAACTCCTGTAATCAAACCAGAATCGCTCTTATATAAGAATCTTCTAATATCTTTTATTTAAAATATTGAAATATCACAAAATTAATTCAGTAAAAAAGATAAAACTGGTTGAATACATTGTTTGTAGTCAATTCTAATATTATATGCGTGTATTTGGACGGGAGAGTTTTAGATTTCTTCACCCTGGCGTCTCCGTCACCCCAATGTCACGTGAATTAACCCTGACGGTCATGTCCGAAACAAGGACTACTTGTTCAAGTTCGCGCTGAATACAGGGAAATATTTAAGACATGACAGCACTAAGACAAAATATACCGCCAGTAAAAAACAATGTCCGCCTCGCATGTGACAAGCCCTTTATACATTATAACTTTAATTTGTGTAATTATTTTTGTCTTTCTTAAAGCTAAATAGTAATCGCGTGAGTGATCAATATGTATGTGTTAGTATACAATTTATTTTAGCAGAATATAAAAAGACAAGCCCGGGAAACGATAATCAAATCGCGGGGGTTATCTCATTCAGGTTTAAAATTATCGAAGTACTTCCTGAACCTTTACCTACAGTTATTATAACTAATTTAAACTTTCAATTATGTTCACCAACAGAATTATCAGGTGATCCTATCTGAAATTCTTCGTTTTAACATAAATAACCAGAAACCATGAAATACGCATAAACATTCAGATGAAATATCATAATATATATTAAATATTCTAAAAGTTTTGTAGTAAATAAAAATATTCCTTCATCAGTTGAATAAATAAATTCAATTATATAATTTTTACTCGTGCTACGTACTTATGAAAAATACTGCAATCTTCATCTCCATAAGAATTATTTATTTACGAAATTGGATGTGTACGATGATGTCACACTAAAGGAAAGTTGAGGCTATCACTGACCATCAAAAATACATCACACCTGAAATCAAAAAGATCTCTCTAACACACCATGGTAAAAAGATTCTCTAAAACAGAATGAATTGCAGTTTCCTTAAATTCGTCCAAAAAAAAAATTTATATCACAGAAATCTTATTCAGAACGTCTTCTGTGTTCTTGTATGAAGCAAATGAAACCAACACACAGTTTTAAGATAATTAAGCAATTCATTTCAATTTGTTAAAAGTAAAACAATTAAATGTGTCTATATGATATGTAATGTATGAAGAATTAGGTATACTGTCTGTTATATCGTGTGTTATAAATAGCTATGATACATGCAGTCTGGTAACTGACTAGCGAGATGTAAACACGGACCACTGTATACTAAAATAACTATGATACTATAGTACACGGCAACAATATGAGTTCCGTGAAATTCAAGCACTGATCATACCATATATGGTAAAATCGTTTGAGAAAAGGCCAGATCAGGCTGATACATGCAGACATCAGTCAGTAACTCATACTATCGTATAGCGGAAGATATTACACAACACAGCACGTGGCTGTAACATTCTCCACGTGCATGTGTTTACAATCAGACAGACCCAGTGTTAATTATCGATTACGCACAGAAGCTTTAGATAACACTGATTTCTGTTAGTGGTATCGAGGCTACTGGCCTGAAATAACGAAGGGAAATCCCCTATCTCGTGTTACTTAAGTAATGATCATACATTGATACTAGACATTCACAACAATGCATTCTACATCCTTGATTAAGACGGGAAGTCATCTTCTAGAGAAAAAAATATGACTCTTGATTGGATCATTTTTTTCTAAAAGCTGATCAAATCAATCAACTTAAAGGACACTTGAGATCGATAATACAAATTATCACTAGATTAATATAAGTAGTGTGTTGCATAAGAACCCGGATGACATGTATCCATTGTAAAATTTCTACAACAAAAGTCACGTGTCGATTGGTGACCTTGGCTCGTGCTGATTTTTCTAAATAAGGAAAATCTGTTTTGTCGATCCTTATATGGAGATTATTGTGTAGGTATAGATCTATTATCATGTGTCCCAGCATGACCCTATATGGAATCGTATTTTCTGATGTCATACCTTAGATAAATTTCGTTAAGGATTATGTAAAAAAAAATCATCGTGGTTATAATTTATGAAATAAACTAAATAAGTCGGGGAATTCAATTTTACGGTTCGGTTGTGTAATCTCTTTCTGATGTGTTATAAAAAGAACGAGTGTTGTGTATAGATGTGTAATTGTATAAAGTGGTGTGTATTTATATAATAAAACATGAAAATATTATTGGAATGTTAAACAAACGACAGTGTCCCTGTGTGACGTTGCCACAGAAGACCCATAGTTCTACATGTCCATTTCATTGGACTGAACATTATGATATCATCCTCTCCCATTACTCCTCCAAATAACAAATATTGATTTGATACATTTGTAAAAATCTGAAAGAATCGTAACTTTGTGAACTTAAAAAGTCATTAAAATTTTACAAGTGCGCACAATGTGTTTGAAATATGAACAGGGGAATACACGAACGTAACAGGTATGGCCGATGGGTGGGTTGTTTAAGTGATACCACTTTCTGTGAATTTACAGCCATCTTGAATATCAGATCAAGCTGAGTGAGTAACAAGGAAAGACAAATACTTGACATGTCTCTTAGTTCCTGCCACGGCCTTTTGTAATTTCTGCATCCACGATACTACAAATGTTACGACCACTTTCGCTCTCTACATCCCTTGAACATATCATAGTAATACTGAAGGCACAAGCGAAGCAACTTTATTGGTTCATGGAGAAAAAAAAACTGACCATTCACAGGCTAATACGCTCCTTTCGAAGATTACCAAGGAGCGATCCCAAACTTCAAAGCCATTACAATATACAGTATGATATATACGTTATGCGACCTCGAGATTCGTTTGCTGTACATTAAAGGATCAAACTAATCTTTTCGTATTTCCACCAGATGGAACCCTCAGTTTTGCCCTGACATGTTCAAAGGATGCAGATAGCGAAAGTTGTTGTAACCCCTGGAGTATCAAGGATGTAATTTTCTGAAGATACTATGGAACCTAACAAATAATATACGGACGGACAAAACCTTTCCTTCTCAACCTGTGTAATCATGGAGTAAATTGTAGGTATATCAGTAATTTAAGTTACTACGTCAGTAATTACTATAAAACAATTACATTCTGAATTAATTGTATATGTGTTTATGTGCACAAATAAGCCTTTAAAAATATGTGTATCAATTCATATCATATTAATGTGACATCTTGTTCCCAGAGTTTCTGAAAAAATCTCAGGAATTTCAAATACATCGTGTATTTGTACCACAAGAAATACATTTGTAAAATATCTGATTTTATTCGTGACTTTCAGATGATTGGAACAGAGACATATAAATATACATGTATTTGGATGGTTACACCGATAAAAAATGTCTTTATCGTGCATCAAGATAATTTTTCTTTAAGAATGATATGGTTGATTTTCATGTGAAATTTTATATACGTTCATCAAAAATAGATGTTGAGGTTCCTTCACATTCACATATTTACTGTTCAAACAATATGTTAAGTTTCAAACAGAAATAGAGGAAACCGATAAGTATGAAAAAATAAACTCTTGATATATTAAAGATTGATAGCAAATCAATCAGTCAATATAGATTGTAAAAACAGACATCGGTGAGAGTTATTTTATAAAACCAAGCTGATAAAATCATTGATATAAATACAGTATTTTCTTTAATAATGTTATAACATTTCATTCGGGAACACTGCATAGAAAAAGTATTTAAACCAAGATCGTTTTTAAATGATACACAGTGTAGTTGAACTTGTAGATCTGCTCTCGAGTCAACAGTCGTTCACGCCGACATCTGTATGGGGTGAAACGTCCTACCAGACATATCTAGACAGATATTGGAATTATTCAGAATTGACAGATCGCTTTTCGTTCTTTTATCTCATGTTTCATTTCAGGTTGAACCAATGGTTTAACTTGATGAAGAACTGAAGTTAACATTTGGAAATATCATTTTTACTGGAAGAAATCTAATAATTGTCCCGTTGTGCAAGGGGTACTTCCAAAATTTATTCATTACCTCCATGTCTTCAAGTTGGTCGGCTCGCAGTTTAACAGTATTGATAAACATGTTCAACAACAAGACATATATTACGTATTTTGCTTTTTTACGCTAATTCCATGTAAAAACAAAAGACTACAGACAAAACCCGGTTTGGAGAGCTTTCCATAATCAGTGTGATATTAATCAGTTCCTGTACTGTAATCACTCACTCACTTGTTCGCTAAATAACAAATTGCGTGTTTGATAATTCTTATCTCACGTTACAATAAGTTGTGTTGAAGGTGACAGAGAACTTTTAAAAAGTTAACATGTATCTATGTAAAAAAAGCGACTGGATATGACACAATTTATTTCCTGTAATAATACATTCTATATCGGCCATTTTCTGGCTACAATATCCGGTCCACATTCCATAAACTCATCTTTACTAATAAACATCGAACACCTATCAAAAACCGGAAGTGCTGAAACAAGCGCGCCACCTATCCAAGAGGACACATGTCTGTTTTTAGGGGCAATAACTCTAATGTGAGATGCAACCGTCTGTTGAACAATAGGCGTCAATTCCATTCGCAGACGTTCCACAAAACCCGGAAATAGTGTGTTACCTCCAGAAAGCGTCATACATGATACCAACTGCTTCAAAATGTCATCGTTACACTTTTGAAGCGTTTTATGTACCAAGAAATGAACGCCCTCATCTGAACCTGACCCGGCACAAAGTTTAGGTTGGAACATTAACTCTGGACACTCATATCTCTCGTCTTTTATCGTGATCATCGAACCATCAGGTAATGAATAATCGTCCACTTTCGGAGCTGGCGCCGAACTCCGTGAATCTACCTGCGGTGCAAAGTACGTGACATCCTCCTTTATCTTATCCAACGACGCTCGTTCCGGGGATGAACGGGTTGTTGTAAGTATTGGGTAGCCTCGTTCTGAAAGAAGTTTAATGAGGTAATCAGTGATATTTTCACCCCCTATCTTAGCGTCCAAAAATAAATCTTGCAAAGCATAGCCTTCGTAAATTGGTAGAGCATAAGTACGGGAAAATCCTGAATGCAACACGAGACCCGTGGTGGAACCGGAAGCACACAGGGACAAAGAAGCTTCGTTAGCTACGTACATAGACGGAGTTCTGAATGTTTCAAACATCACTTCCGCCATCCTACCCCTAGCGGTTGCGCATGTCAATGGGGCATCAGTCATCAGAATCCTGTGTTCCTTTGAATCCAAGTGCAGCTCTTTGTCGAAAACATGACGCCATATCTCCTCCATATCGTCCCAGTTGGTGACGATGCCGTGTTCAATTGGGTACTTTAGGGTGAGGATTCCTCTCTTGCTTTGGGCCTCATCACCGACATAACTGTCCGTTTGTGTTAAGGCACACACCAAAGTCTAGAAAAAATAATAAAATGACTTTGATTTGTTGTTATAGTTTTTGGTATTTATACGTCATTTTGATTTTTTTAAGTATAAATTTATGTATAATATACTGTCTGTCCGATTGGCGTATGTAAGTCACCCATTGCCGTCTGTCTTGAAATGAAACAATACTTTTATATACCTTGTATCCTATGTATATTTGTACGTTCGTACTACTCGTGTCATGTCTTCAATCACAAAAGGAACGTGTACGTAGATCTATTATGTCATGGCAACCCTTATTTCATCGTCACGTGTGAAGTATTTTCTGTTGATACTTATGGTTCGCTTTGCCTGTTTTTTTTTCAGTGCGCGTAAAACCAGAATGCAGCACGCATTGTTGTTGATGCACATCAGGTTCGATCGAATCATTATTTAACGTTATTTGTCGTAGTTTTGTTGCTATAAAAAATTAGTCAGTTTCTGTGTTCGCTGACGCAAAAGGGACATCTTACATCACCGGAAGTGATATCAGATGCATTTGCTGAACGGCAAAACACTCCCTTGGGGAGCATATTTGCTCAAAACCTTTCTCATCGAATGCCGTGAATGTTGGAGTGCGTCAAAGACAATGTAATGTTAGACAATGAATTACAATTTTATGGGTCTTCAATGTGTCTGAAATTTCACCGGTACAGACGTTGGTCATATTGTACACGGAGGAACTGTACCGCTGGGACACTCGTCTTACTCATATGTGGAAGATATTGAAATAACTCGGTAAATCAGCCATTGAGAATCTAATGGTGATATACTTCACACAATATCTTATCCGATAACATCGAGAATAACTATCACACTTTATGGTCAACCAATGTATGTGGAAGTGATGCACATGTTGAACCAATGTAATTGTTGAAGTGATGTAAATGTTCAAGTGAGGTAATGTTTAAACCGATGTAAATGTTCAAGTGAGGTAATGTTTAAACCGATGTAAATGTTCAAGTGAGGTAATGTTTAAATCGATGTAAATGTTGAAGTGAGGTAATGTTAAAACCAATGTAAATGTTGAAGTGATGTAAATGTTCAAGTGAGGTAATGTTTAAACCGATGTAAATGTTCAAGTGAGGTAATGTTAAAACCAATGTAAATGTTGAAGTGATGTAAATGTTAAAACCGATGTAAATGTTGAAGTGAGGTAATAAATCCGATGTAAATGTTGAAGTGAGGTAATGTTAAAACCAATGTAAATGTTGATGTGATGTAAATGTTAAAACCGATGTAAATGTTGAAGTGAGGTAATAAATCCGATGTAAATGTTGAAGTGATGTATATGTTCAACAGAAGCATATTTCTACGTTATTGTCAGTATGAAATTCCGTGACCTTCTTTGACACAAAATACCCTACAGATATAACAGTTCACCTCTAACAAAGTATTCTGTGACCGATATCAAATTTAGTCAGCACAATGAAATACTACTGATGCTATCTCTTTAACTGGTAAATTAATTTAGTAGTGGCTGCAGAAGGATAGTACACATGATAAAACTGTAACAAATATCATACTAAAAAGTACTTAAGACTTTTACAACACACTATCTGTGACATACAGCAGTTTTTACATAGCAGATGTCTTGAGAACACGGATTTGAACAAAGACAAGTGTATTGCCGCCACAACAATGTGTATCACTTCCGGTGACGTAGAACTCTGACACACATTCCTACCGGAGGTGTCCGTCCTATGGTCCCGTCGTAACTTACTTGTTTGGATTTACCGACAACACTAGGAATGGAAATGCTAGGAAGGCTGTCCTTTGCCAGTCCAGCTTTAACTGAGCCAGTACCATTATCGATAACAATAGTATTATCAAACCAGGACTCGTCCATTCATAGGAAGTGTCGTTATGTCAACACGAATATCTTTCATCTGAACCGGTCGCTCTTTGGCAAGGGAGACAACTCTCACTGAAATGAGTTTCTTTATCTTAAAGAAGCCCATGGGTTACATCCCCACCATTTTACTTGTAAACATCAGGGTAACTATTGTGTGTTATCATTATATCATAGGTACTGTAAAGCATTACTTACAGGCGAGCGGTGGTGGTCATATTATACAGATAGGCATGTGTTCAATCTCCCTATAAACCTAACTAATTGCATTTTTTCGACTGTCGACTTCCTTCAACAGACAAAATTGTATTCGAAAATCAAATATATCGTTACTATCAGAATGTGCATTTACCGATAAAATGTTTTGATGGCATACAATTGATAAGAGAGCATTAGGAGAGAAATTCTGTAGAATATAGTCGAAAGTGGTTGTAAAGGATGTCTCAAGATTTATGCGATATCGGACGACATGGCGAGCAGTCAACAATGTTTGCAAATTTGAAATGACAATTTCTCATTACAGGGCAGATAACAAGTCACAGCGTCAGACCCAGATATAAAACTATACCGTCCCGAATAAATAAAACTACGGTCTCCTTACCTATTCTTTAAAGAAGCAATTTAATGTCTCTGCCTAGTGGCGAGTTCTGAACCTTTCTGTATATTAACTTTTCTCTTACACAACTCATATATCATTACGCATTACATATGCGATAAACGTAAAACTTATCTAAAAAGTATATCAGTGTAATATTTAAACGCAATCGTCAATTTAACATACAAAATAACTAATAACGCGATTAGTTTTAAAAGTTATGCAGAATCCATATAATTTTAAATACCTATTTTAGCACATTATCATTTCGTAACAGGTGCTGTTCGGTCACTGTCCGCTGATCACAATGATTTTGTAAGGTACATGTAATGTGAACAAGTGGCATGCCCGGTTTTAACATCGTTTGATGTCATCATGACATGATCAGCGAAATATTTCATCTCGATTTAAAAATTTAGATTTTCCTCATCGGAGTCTAAATATGTTTTTGTGATGCAATCCAGCGTCAAGAAATGAGGTCTGACAAATACAAATATAAACGTGTTGGTTAAAAACAATTCAGACTAAATACCATGTAAAGATGTTTGACTAATCTATCTACATATAACATTTAACAGCGAGTATTGCTTCATCCTTAACAAGGCCAACGCCTAACTCAACACTTTTTTGGATCAAACTCATGCCATATCTGTTGTACCATAAACTGATCATATGTACTATTTGTGTTCACTAAGTTTATAGATATTTAGTATAAGTATCACACCTCAGTGAAACTCGTGTAATGTGTCGTTGTATCTGAATTGTATTACGAGTGCGCTCTTCAATTTGGAGGAAAAAAGATGGTGATACATTGTAACAGCCAGTTTACATCCAAAGGCAATGATATATTAAAAAAAACACGACCATTTTATAATGTTTGTGTAGTTATAATGAGTTACATGTGGTTGAGTCACAGAATATGTACTTAGGACTTAAAGCAAAGAATAGTCTTTTCATCGGACCATTGCCTTTGAATCTTTTGTTACAAAGAACGCAAGCATTAGCACCCAATGAGTTGAAGATATTTTGTTTTGATTGTTTCTAACATCTTAAGCAGATTCATTGGTTTGTCTGCATTCATCAGGTCCGTGTTGTGTTTAGTGTATACAATGTAAGTCTTTTATCTTTATCTGCACAGATTATCATATTCCCCGCGTGCAAACAGAAGAAATAGATACTCATGCTTCAATATTTCAATCATTTGAATGACTTGCCAATGATAAGAAGGACTTCCTTCGTTTGCACTGGATTACTGAACTTAACGAGAACCCGCATAAACAATCCCTTCATTACTGACTAAAGTTTCAACCAAACTTTCATTTTGAAAGCTTCCTACTAACATTCTTTCAACTATCAATTCAGGGTTACAATCTTATGGTGATACTGTTTACTCAAGAAATGGAATTAATAGTGTGTGGATTTTTAAGAAACCCCGAAGAAATTTTGACCAATATTCAACACATCTTCTAAAAAACATTTCTTTTATAAAATTTGATTTTGTCCACTCTGTACAACATGATACCCTATTCTAACGCAATCCCTTCGTTCTCTTCTTTTTGAGAATTTTCTTTTCCAATGAAAGTGAAATATACTGAAAATGTTATGTTTTTCGTAAAAAAAAACGTCAAAATAACAAAACAAAACAAACAAGAAATAAAAACAACATCTTCTTTGAGTTTGGTTTTAATATCTTTCGTACATATTTTTTACCATTTTGGGTAACCTGTTTTTGTTTTCATTGAATGCACAATTTATCAAAGGGTTTATTAAAACAGGTCTCAAAGGCATTTGTAAGTCCTTCAATTCCTCTCTTAGATACAAAAGCTATTTATTAATGACGTCTTGTTTTTAAATGACAAGAACTTTATTGACTATGTTCACCGATCATTTCCAACAACGAAACAGGCTGTGCAGCTTTCTACAACTCTGTACAATTTCCTTACTGTGAAGTTTTCCAGTTCCGGACAGCAGTTTAAATGTGGATTCGATATTCTAGGGCCTGTGCTTTTGGTGGCTAATTTCAGCCAACTCACTTTGTAACGTTGTCGGGCGCCAAAGTGGCAATGCGGCAACTCGAAAGTGCGGCCGTCTATGCGGGAATATTACAAATCCCGCCAACGCGATACATGTACCCCGCCATTCATCGCGGCGACAGCAAAAAGATATGTGGCGTTGGCGGCTATTAATGTCGCGTTGGTGTGGGGACGGGGGTGGGATGTGGGGAAGGGGATATATCGGTGTAACGCATCGTAGTTGAGAAAAATTTTAAATCATATGCAAGTTACCTCCCCTCCATCATGCCTACCTGATCAGGTACATTAAAATACCATATCATTAAATTTATACATTTTTTGTGATAAATTCATCACAACAGTTCATGTGTCATAATCATACGCGCCGTTAAGTAACTCTTTATAACACCTTTCGAATAAAACTAACAATATTTTCACATTTTTTTCGTGACTTTGTGATCATTTATGATGAAATGATCATAACGTTTCGTGAGTAAGGATATTTAGCTTAACACGAGTTATTTCCCTTGTGCTATTCAATCACGGCCATTTGTATCAGGCCGATAAAAAAGACACATACACAACATGACAATTGTGTGTTCATCTCTGCTATGGCCGATTTAAAATGTTTTTAATTGATACCGATTTACTACATATATTATTAAATGTTCTTAAGTATTAGTCTAGATAAAATGGAAATACTAGCAAATGTATTATTTCCAAACCATATCGCATTTGTAATATCGAATCATTCATTATTTCAAGCAATTCTTGTTTTTTACTGTCATTTTTTCCTTACATCAGAGTGCATGTGCTACACTTTCCATTTATAAATTAGCACATTTTTGTGACTCACAACCAGTGTCTCCTCGTCACGTGACCATGATATATGGGTTACTCCCCTTGAAATACACTAATACACTCAGCGTCAGAATCTAGTAAATTCCAGTCAATGCCCATATTTGGAGATACAGAACATGTTGGCGTGTTTTGGCATCGTCTGCTCGTAAACACCGTCGCCTATCAGTATTTCATATTATATGAGAGATAAAATTGACAAATTCGCATATCAATGACGAAAATTACGTTGGACAACTGACCAAGGTGTGTTTTGATCTATTATCTATACGCGGCCAGCATGTTTTAATATATATCTTTATGGCCCCAGGGACACCATGGTGGTGGATGCGAGACAGGGTAAGGAGGTGTGGCGTGGGCGATTTCTGTCAGCAATAATTAACTTAACCTGATTATTGGATGATATTGTATCAGATTGTGGAAGCCATTATCTATCGGTAATATATCACGGAGATTTGTACTAGCCAACGGAAGTGACCATTAAGGTTTTCGTGTTTCATAATGATACATAGGTTTATCGAATACATGTAATTTCAAAATCAGCAGATCATTGACAATATAACATTTCAAAAATATTATAGTGTGTACATACTAATACCTATCTAATGGTATACTAGCTTTAGTCAACTTGTTTTTTTCAAAAGCGAAATTCCATATCGATTTGTATATCTGCATTCCAGCGCGTGAAATATGCCTAAATGATGCAGTTTCTTATACATGGAATGGAATTTAGTGATGACGTCAGTTTTTAAAAACATGAAAAAAGGGACTGGTAGTCTCATATAGTATGAATCATTGGTGTTATTTCTTAATATTAGATGTGACATTACGGAAATACGGGGAGACAGAGACTATACAGGTGACAAAACAATAAAAAAAAAATTCTTTCGTAATTGACGTGTGAATATGCAATGATATCGGTGGATTAATAGTTTTAAAGTTCCGATACTCATATCAAATCACAACAAACGTGACCGGAGAATCGGGAATTTCCGGAAATGCTTCTCGGCTACATCCGTCTAGCCAATCAAAGCGCCGTCAGGTGTTCATTCATAATGGTGGCGTGTGTTTTGTAGATAGTGAAGAGTGATACACAAATAGATCGGTATATAAGCAAGAAGTACCTGGGCGTCCCCTTACACAATCACGTCTGATGGGCAGAAGGCGCAGTCTGGAGACGCGAGTTACTAGCAATAGCGTGACAAAGCTATTTGATATATCACTCACGGTGGAACATAATAAAATTGTGTCATACATTTCCTCTGTTTTCTAAGATAGATAGTTTGTCGTCTTAACTATTGACAAGCCATCACAATGCAATATAAATGAACACATCCTATTAGTCTTGAGTCCTGGACATGTGTCTGCCAAGTGGGAGTAAAGACAGGAAGTCATGACAGACAAGTCAGAAAACCAACATCTATTGTCCATGGTACCGGAAATTGCTTGTTAGTGACGATAATAAAATTCGGACAAAACAAACATACATAGTAAAAGGTGTGAGAAGTTTGGTTAGCTAGAGAAAACAACCAAAAGCTGAAGTGTTGGATATGGGCGTGAACAACTCACGCCTCTTACTTTCGCAATCACATATGGCTACATTGAAATATTGCCAAATATGATATTTATTAATATGGAAATTTTAAATATTGCGATTTCAACTTTCTTTACGATTTGGTTATAAAACTTTATTGTTTACATCAAAGCATCCTTTATAGTCTTAATTATTACACCGATTTCTTAATGAAGAGTTAAATTCTAAAACATTTCATCCCCGCTTGCAGCTGTCTTGCCCGGACAAGCTGTGAGCTGTCAGTTCTCCGGTCCAGTTCCCATGGCTCGATGAATGAATGTTCCAGGCAGACACAAACCCGGTAAAATGAAAAATTTAACCTTTTGTTGCAGGTTCCAAGAAATTTGCCCAGACATAGAGGTGTAAGGAAGTTTTCTCTGACCCATTAAAAAACAAGGTCTAGAACATCGGGAAATACACATGATTAGGGTTTCTGCAGGTTTCTATTTCCTCGTGCCCTTCATATTTATCATCTGGTACAAGTAAATTCTCTTTATAAAAGATAAATGAATTTCAAACGTCCACTGTATCGAATACTCGCCAGACTGGCTATTAACAATGGCACTAACTCAACCTCTCCACTACCAAACCTGGTGTAGCATATAAATTTTTCTCCGTCATATTTCACGGAGAATTAACGAGTTGTCAAGTTACCAGCTGTTGTCAATACGAACGTGTTGTTCCTAACGTCCTATCTTCCAGGTCCTACAGTGTGTGTACGGCTTCATCAGGTAACACCCGCCCCGGTAACACATGTTCTGCTATTATCAGCCATTCATCACTTACTCGTGAAGTGTGGGTGGTCACCACATATCTTATACTAACTGACCAACGTGTGCAACTGTAATTTTTAAAACATTACTGTACACACTGACCACCGGTTACCAAGACAAATTTGCCGACAAACAGACAAATTTTTCCAAACAATGGTATTCTCTCTTTAAACATTTATTTCCCATGTCAACCCAACAACCATTGAGAAAGATATAAATCAACAAAAAATGTTCACATAACATCACGTACTGACGAGAAATTATAGTGTGAACAGACGGTATTATTGCAGCGGCAGCATGCAAGCGACGTTCACCGTCCGTAACAGACTCCTCTTCGTCACCGACTCCCGGGAATGTTTTTGTATGGTTATATAGTCCTTTGTTACGGCACAAGTACCGGTGTGCGAACGTAACGTTGACCTTGCATCCGAAGGTTACCACAAGGTGGCTCGTCGTCGCCTTGAGAACAAAGACTCCGAAACACTAGTGTGTTTCGCCACGCGACAGGCCCGAGCTGGCACGGTGATTATGTGAACGCTCCAATGTATCTTTACATCTTCAGTGAGAAATTTAATAGCCGGTAAATAGATAGATTTCCCGGGATGGATATACTCGCCCTGACATGACTTGCGATTTTCTTTACGTTTAGATGGGAAGCCGGTGCTGTTGTGGTTATGTTCGCTGGCGGCTCTTTGATATCCCCCCGACAGCCAGTCTCCAGAAGTCCTTAGACTGAGGAAAGACAAGACGCGTAGGTGTCCAGTTTGGAGATATTTACATCTGTCCCTGAAAATATTTTTATCAACACAGCGTACAACCTCAGTCTATGTTGAAAAGAAATTACTAAAATACGTCTGTTTTAACAGTCTTTAAAACGGAACTGAAAGGCATAGAGAAACAAATCCTCATAATTTGGGACATTGTCCTTTCTGTAAAACTGATGATGTAGGAGACAAATTCCGCTACATTCTAAAATCTCTTTCTTTCAATGAACTAATAAGTAAACGCATCAAGTCATATCATGTTAATCTGTCTGTCTACAAACTAATCAAATTATCAACTGTTAATATCAAAGAATTAATTAACCTGTGTAAGATCACATACCATGTTTACTACGATCTAATTTGTAAACTTCTAACTATAATATGATTTGCAAGCTGTTAGTGTATGTAAATTGTAAATGTCCTTGAATGATTGTATCTTGCAGCCTGTGCTGATTTTACTGTACATTAATATGAGATTGTCCTTTCTATCGATGAGATGGTTTTGCTCAAGACGAAGTAAATGAATATGGATCAGACCTGGGTTTATAATTTATTTTCTGTTATAATGTGTAAATCTATCGTGAATTTGAAATAAACGAAATATTTTCTGTTAATGACGATCGTAATTAGACGTTTGTTGAAGAACATGATAACGCTTGCTCGTGTATGCATGCACAATATTTGCGAAATTGTAACTACATGTATGAAATTTAACCCATGGAATCAGTTGTAAAATAACTTGAGCACGCAAAGAAACAAATTAGATACACTGGGTATTCTCAGCAAATATCTTGGACAAAACAAAACGAGACAAAAAAAAAGAAAATCAGGTGTATTTCATAACGTTTCCTATCAGGTTTATCACAGTTTTGGAAACGGGTGGTAATAGATAATCACCGGATCCATACAGGAAACATAACCACATCAACCATTGCCGTGTATTGTCATCTTCTCATACAGTACTGAAACAAGTAGAGCACAACCCGCTTCGACCTGAAGAACGGAGCGCTATATCCGAACCTTACGATACTTATTTAACAGTAGCTGAAGTTGGAAGGCCAACACGCTAACCATTCGGCCCATCTGCGGCACTTACAACACGTTAGATGAGAGGTACATATTGGAATGCAAAATAAAGATGACACAATACCGCTAGGTGGAAACTCTTGAATACTTGCCAACTTTCGAGCTTAATACTCTGCATGCGACAAACAACCTTTTGACGTCTCGAAGCATTGAAAAACTGTGATGTTCTATTTTAATCTACAGTCGTCAATATGGTATGCCATCTTTAAAATTCATTTCGAATATACACGTGTACTTTTAGTTGTTCTAAAATTATCAGATATACGAGCATTATAAAATCGATTGCATTATGGGGCTAGTAAACCTCCTTGACTAGATTTTGAATTTTCATTTGATTACTTCGCATTTACCTCAGTCGCCTCCAAGGCTTCAAAATTCAGGTTCTTAGCATCACTGACGAATCCTACAAGTAAGACGAAGCAGTTGCATTGCAGTGTGATTCATTCTTTGGCCTTCATTTTTTAATCGGTTGTCATGGAAAGTAAATGCCTAAATGCCGCCATCTGATTGGTCAAAAAAAGTAAGAGTAATTTCTATAAGCATCTCTTACGACTGCGGGGATAGTTTTTGGATATAATTCGTGTGACGTGACCCGTATCAATAATCATTCTCCCCTCTTTTTTCAGAATTCAGAATTCCTCAAACTGTAACATTCTTAATTCTTTAGTTGTTCATTGTTCGACTGGTATATAACTGGTATGCCGAAGAGTAGCATACAGGTTTATCGAAGAGCTTGTCAAAACAGGTCATAAAGACCTTGTAAATTCCTTTAATGTTACTTTTAGAGAAAAAGAGATTTATTGACCACGTTCGTATATACCCACCAGAATTGAAAATAAAGGACACAACAGACTCTCCTACATCAGTCGCTTTTCTCGATCTTTCCCTACAATGAAACCAACATAGACAGCTTTCCACCAAGCTGTATGATAAGCGTGATAACTTCCAATTTCCCTTTTGTGACATTTCTGGATAGCAACACTCCTGCATCCCAAACTTATGGCGTTGGCATGTTGCGGCTTTTTCATTATTATCGTGCAAGAAATTGTCAACGTATTGACGAGTGTCGTCGATCAAACAGAAGATCTGGAACATCTGGGTCTTACTCTCCTTGAACGTTTTTGTGTGTCTCCGTCTAAATCTTTCTATTGCTCATATGTTTGTCTTTGATTGAATTTGAGTTTGGATTATGATTATGTCTACATGTTTGTGTTTTCTTACTGCGTTTTTTTCTGGAAATGATTTACCTCATTAAAATTTTTAATGGAAGTTCGATTTTTTAAATTCAATGTAACCGTTTTACATTTGAGTATGTAATGGTAACGCCAATATCGATCAGTGTAAAGATGGGAATTTTGTTTCATCTGATCTTGATTTGACGTCTGAAGTACATTCATGTCAGCACGAATACAGTCCGTTGTGTTATATAATTTCCGCATTGATGTGCGGGCGGTGCTATTTTAAGTAAAAGCGGTTTCATTTTTATTCTGAGTTTGAAAACTATTCAATACAAAATGTATACTGGGCATTAAAAACATTACAGGAACGGGTTTTTTTTTCATTCATTTTGTATCAACATCATCATATTCGTTAAGTATACTTCAAAGATATGTTTATGGCTTTTAAAAAAAACGTGCAAAACAAAATCAATAAAACAGTAGGATTTTTTTTCCATTTTATTCAATAACGAATAATGAATTTGTGATGACAATGATTATATAATAATCACATGTGTCTTTTGCTGACGGTATTGGTAGGGGTATGCCTGGAATGATAGCGGTGCTCCAGTTGGTATTTTTCACCAAGCACTTGAGACCTTATTCTTCGGTTGGTTGGCTACTGGTCAGTTTTTCTTTACTGTTGATGAAATGCATGAGGAGGAATCAGAATTTGTGCCAACGACAACAGATGGCTGACCTCGACTCGCCATTCCGGTGTACCCCGGATACTGTTACACGCGACGTTGTTTAGAGACCAGCTGTCCCTGTCTAGTTGACCAGTCGGACAGGTACTGGAAGTAGTGTAACAGCGGTAGCTATTGTAGTGGCTCGTGCTCGGACTTCATTTGACCCAAAAGTTTGTCCTTCAGGTGAGATCAGTTTGGGTAACAGATAGCATGGAGACGAAATCTCCAGCGTCAGTTCCTGAAATTGGAAACCAAACACGTCAAAGTTATGTCATACTTAATTGTTCGTACTGCAGAAACCTCAATCATGCGCAACGATTTGCCGCATAATCCATATTACACGTGAAAGTCTGAGCTACTATCACATTCCAATTCCGGTACTGTCCCCATGTTTTAACGTACTGGTTAACACAACAGAAAGATTTTCTGACAACCTGTTAACTAATAAAAAATGAGTACCTTAGTTTGTCATTAAAGCCCTGTCGTTACTAAATATGATGATTCTGGTGAAGTTCAATATTCATCTACACAAGAGTCGGTGCCATTAATCCTGACAATGCTAGGACTATGTGGCTCTGTTCGCGTTACTGAAGGAACCTATCGAGTTAAGCATCTTTGATAAATATATATGTACCTTTGAGATATTATGGCGTGGATGACATTTGGGACGTTCAAATTGGGAGCTGTAAGGGGTGATGCAGCATGACACCGTCGGCCATCATGTCGTCACAGCAGGCCAACAACATCTCGTCCGCCGGAACGGGCTTCTGCGCATGCTGAAACACGCCAACAGATGTTAAGTCAAAACACTTAAACTTATTATTTTTTTTCAACTGAGATAACACATTTTTTAACACATTATCTAGTGTTGAATGAAGCGTTTGATGCCTACCTGTATAAGAATGCACGTGTATTCTGCAGGTGGGCGATGTGGAGGAGTCCCCTCCTTAGTCTTCTTGTAATGCAATGACAGTATTTTCTCGAGCTTTTCAGAGCTATCAACCTACAAAACAGAAATGGATAATCCGTTACTCACGTGTAAAACTGAAGGAAGATACAACAATGAAAACTGTTTATCACGTGACTCAACATGGCTGACTTAGGAAGCAAATGGAAGCGGTGAAAGCTGTGGTTATTTTGTCGATGTAACAACTTCGCTTGTGACCTGTTGATCAAACTTAGCGAGAGATGTATAACAGCCGTAGACTACGGATTCTGTCATTGAACTACGTGAATCGCCTGTCCGCATCGATCACTTAGCCTACGCATTTACACTTTCTTTACGAAGGAAAATGTCGCTCCCATATTTTTTGCAGTTTACTTGTATTTTGGTTAAGAAAATCAGATGGCTCAACATAACCAGTGTTTTAGTAAGCGTAAAAATAACAAATAATGGATTGGGTGTTACGGATACAACAAGACACGTGCTATTGTGAAACTGATCGGTCTATATGTGTTTCCACCTGCCATCTTGTTTATTACTTGCTAACGGACATTACGAAACCTTACAAAACACCTACGAAAGCTTTAATTTACCAAGGCTATTGAGCTTTTTTAAGGTTGTAAAGAATTACAGAAAAATGGCATTGTTGTTTGCACGTTTCCATTCAACCCAGGAATGTCTTTGTAAATTTTGGGTGACGTCCAAAAGGGTGTGAAAATCTTAACCTGAAATCAATGATACACTAAACTGATTTTGAGATGAACGAAAACGAACATCATAATGCAAATAGTTATTATGAATAATCAGGTCTTCTCCTATACAGACCATACCGGTCGTGTAAACTTACAAAATATGTAGTTAAAACACGGGTCGTGTAAACTTACAAAGAATGTAGTTAAAAAACGGGTCGTGTAAACTTACAAAGTATGTAGTTAAAACACGGGTCGTGTAAACTTACAAAGTGTGTAGTTAAAACACGGGTCGTGTAAACTTACACAGTATGTAGTTAAACACGGGTCGTGTAAACTTACACAGTGTGTAGTTAAAACACGGGCCGTGTAAACTTACACAGTGTGTAGTTAAACACGGGTCGTGTAAACTTACACAGTGTGTAGTTAAAACACGGGTCGTGTAAACTTACACAGTGTGTAGTTAAAACACGGGTCGTGTAAACTTACACAGTGTGTAGTTAAACACGGGTCGTGTAAACTTACACAGTGTGTAGTTAAAACACGGGTCGTGTAAACTTACACAGTGTGTAGTTAAAACACGGGTCGTGTAAACTTACACAGTGTGTAGTTAAACACGGGTCGTGTAAACTTACAAAGTGTGTAGTTAAAACACGGGCCGTGTAAACTTACACAGTATGTAGTTAAACACGGGCCGTGTAAACTTATAAAGTGTGTAGTTAAACACGGGCCGTGTAAACTTACAAAGTGTGTAGTTAAACACGGGTCGTGTAAACTTATAAAGTGTGTAGTTAAACACGGGCCGTGTAAACTTACACAGTGTGTAGTTAAACACTGGTCGTTTAAACTTACACAGTATGTAGTTAAACACGGGTCGTGTAAACTTACAAAGTATGTAGTTAAACACGGGTCGTGTAAACTGACAAAGAATGTAGCTAAAAACACTGGATATGTAAATTTACACAATGTGCAGTTAAAAACTGGTTATGTAAATGTAAAAGTCCCGTTCTCAGGATGACATTTTAGAACAGAATTATGGATGAGAAAGAAAAGCGCGTACTGACCTTAAGGACACGCACGCTGTGCTCCACACAGTGAGCCTCCATCAGGGTGTTTTGTATGTCTACAGAGACATCGGCTGGAACAGCTTTGGCCAAGACACACAGCCCTACAGAACCTGGGTTCCTACAAATCACCGATCCTTATTTTTATTAATCCGTCATATTTAAATTCTAGTGATAATTTCGATACTGTGAAAAGCAGAATACAAATTTAAACACAAGATTTTGCGACATATTCATGCACTTTTCATGCTGTCATTTATATCTAAAACACCTAATATTTTACCGAACAATTTTATTAGAAATTACATAATTCGTATACCATTATTTCTTAAAATACTGAACACCCCCCCCCCTCCTCGAAAACAAATCCACTTTATACTACGTCATGTAAAAATAAACAATTCTGATGTGATTATAACAATTACTTGCATTAGACCTGTATATATATTGACAGGTAAACTGTTACACGCGATATATTTAAAGACTATTCATAAAAAAAATACACTTACGCTTCCATCAGCTTTGCACATCCATATACTCCAAATGTAATTCGGTCCTCCTCGGATGCTCGCATCAGGAAATCTCTGACAATCATGCCGAAATTCATTGGTTTCCTGCAAAAAACATCAGTTTACACCTTGTAGATGATATCCATTGCAAAGACTGCTCAGGTATGTCGGGTCAATCACCAAGATAAACAGAATTAAACAGTGCTGGTTGTGAGTCACGAGTCTGGGAGATTCCCCGTTCGCCGGGATACACCTTCAGTATTCCTAAACGATTTCACAAACTTCCCATTGAATGAATGCCAATGTTTTAAACCAATCCTTCTAGATCCACATTAAGTATTTGTTTGCATTTGATTTTCCAGTCTCATCTGTTGCACATCATACACGTCAACCAATGTAGTTTTATTCTATAAATGGACAGATTAAATTGTGTATTGACGTCACGGTGAACTACTAAATATTCACGAGGAATTATGCAAATCATATGGGTCACACCAGATCAGCTGTTCCCAGCCGACCAGAAACAAAGAAGGAAAGTTATTAAGTAGGATATTCTGCGTCTTTCGAAACTTTTATATTTGATTTTTTGAAAAACAGAACATTTATTTCGATACTTTTGTTTCAAGTTTGCAAATGCAACAATACAGACGAAATAATGACGCAAGCACGGCGCGTGACCTCGCTCGACTTGTAGATCGAATAGTTCTAGAACAAAGTATGGCATGCTGATGCAACAGTAACGACGAAGAAAACTTGATACTGACAACTCCAGTGTGGATTAAGTTATACAAGGATTGATTAAAATATGCAAACGAACTCTAAAAATAAGTTACTCGAGCGATATTTTGCAAGTCATGATTGCAACTGTTGCAAAACAGCTGTTGGTTAATATTTCACAAATGCAAACTTACATGTAAGACTGTACAAATTTCTAGACAGAAACGTGTTGCATATTTTCTCTGTACTTCACTAGCCTGTCAAATCGACTATGGTATACGCTTTCTTTGTCCTAGACGGGCCCAGCCATCGATCGTTAGTAGGTCAAATGTACATGTGTATATATTTACGTACGTAGAATGTTACGAAAGAGAGTTTAGTAGTTTAAATAGAAAAACATAATCAAAGTTTAACTTACTTAGTGCAAACTGCAGCTGAAGCTTCCGTGCCTTCGGGAAGAGTCATAATTTGTTATAGTGCAGTTAGAAATCCGCCTAGGAATCACACAGATCCTCCGTACCGTTTAGCTGGTCTAGTCTCTTTATCTGTCACGTTGCTACTACGTTCTTTGTTCAACTGAGGGCGGAGCTTCGGAGGTCATCTCCGTAAGCCGCGCTGTGATTGGTTGTTGATCGCGGAAGTTGCTTCCTTAGAAACCAGTTGCTACGAATCCAGCATCTATTCAACACAGTGTAAACAGCGACCTGTTTGGCAGTAATACTATAAGTAGCATAAGATTGTAGACGTGTGTAAGGCAGAGTGTTTGTGTAAACAGACAGTCAATAAATATTTCTGATCCAGTGCTTAATGGTCATACCATTCGGTCCTCGGCTCAACACTTAGTCTTGTAGAATTTTATTTTCTGATACAACTGAAAAAAATAATGGAACTCAAGGCATATCTGAGGACTATGTGTAGATGTCTTCACCAGTGACACGTTTAGATGTCAATTACGCACCCGTATCTACATCCCAAATAGGCAGTATATGGCACATCGCAGTTCAGGTCTAGGTAAATGGTCTTATTACTCTGTCTACGCCGTCTAGCTTCGCCCATGGTCTAGACATAATCAACAACACGTTGCTGATCAGTTCTTAGCAAACGTAAAACCATATATACATTATTAATTGTGGTAAGTCGACAAATGACTATAGCTTTTGTGAGAAAGAAATGCGTATCTTGTTTGGTAGCAAATCAACGGTCACAATTTCAATTTCAAGCAAGACACATGATAACTTCCTCTGGTGTAACATGTTTGTTACATTGTTAACTACCTGCAATGTAACATGTTTGTTACATTGTTAACTACTTCCGGTGTAACATGTTTGTTACATCATTTACTACTCCCGGTGTAACATGTTTGTTACATCATTAACTACTCCCGGTGTAACAGGTTTGTTACATCATTTACTACTTCCGGTATAACATGTTTGTACATTATTCACTACTTCCGGTGTAACATGTTTGTTACATCATTAACTACTTCCGTTATAACATGTTTGTACATCATTAACTACTTCCGTTATAACATGTTTGTACATCATTAACTACTTCCGTTATAACATGTTTGTACATCATTAACTACTTCCGGTATAACATGTTTGTACATCATTCACTACTTCCGCTGTAACATGTTTGTTACATCATTAACTACTTCCGTTATAACATGTTTGTACATCATTAACTACTTCCGGCGTAACATGTTTGTTACATTGTTAACTACTTCTGGTGTAACGTTTCGGTTTTCATTGTGATACATCCTTGTTCAATTGTTGCCTGATGAAGCCATTTCTAATAAAATCTTGTGTTTAACGCTTAGCAGCATAACCGTCAACAACAACAACACTTTACGCATAAATCAACTTTATTGCAGTAGGATAAATAACATAATGAATTAACAAAACGGATTTTAACATGTGCCTAGATTTCCAACAGCCTATGTATCCCGCAAAACGAGGCGTTGATCGTCCTGTTCACTGTAGGCTGGATACGCTGGATATGGCTGACTGGAGTTGTGAATTTAAGCTGATTATAATACTAAAAGTCAACACCGAGACATTTGTATAAGTTCAATTTCATTATGAACCTTAGACAGCACAGGTGGGAGATTTATTGATCAACAATCGATAAGAATTACGAACCGTAACTCCTACCAAAAGAATGTTAGTCAATATTACTATAGTCTAGCACTAACCAGACCCACATTCCTCACGTGCTTTACATACCTACGCCAGGAATGGCTAAGGGTTACTGTAGCCCGGGTATTTGCAACAACATTCACACATTAGTGTATCTATTCCATGTTTTCCAATAACATGCAACATGCTCGAAATTTTTCAGTGAAATAACAGGATAATTTGTCGGCTGACAGCGAATGCCGTTTATACTCATCGATAAATATTGACCTTTTCTCGAAATAAAGACTGCAATGTGTTTGGTGAAATTTCTATAAACAATTTATCTCGTAAGTTTCCCCACCACGCCATTTATGGTCAGGATGTTTTTGGCACTTATGTACATGGATGTCAAACCCCTAACCGAGACCTTATATGACCTACTCCCTGTTTTCTGAATCTATTTAAATCTCGAACATTATTCATAGAAGCGGAAAAAACAGCGGTTGGTGGATGTGTGTTCTGTCTTCTGTCTTTGAAATGGTAATGTTTTTAGCACATTGTGTATAAGTAAAAATATTGCAGTCTAACACAACGAGTGAGGAACTTCGAGATCAAACTAAACAGCAACAGTATGGTTGATAGAATTAACATTTAAAAGATTTATGAAACCAACTTCTGTTTGATGTTATTCGTCTCCGAGTTGCCAAATGACGCCTATACATGTCTGTCTGTGTATCCACCCATTACGACGTCTTAATGTCCGTCTAGGTGTCCGACATCATTTCCAGCATTGAAATTGTCCTATGTCTACGTTGCATAAGTACCATCCCCTTCCCCACCTCGACCTCAGCTGTGTGCAAAATTGTGTCTGACCTCCTAAAATCCTGATTTTTTGACAGAAATAAAATTAAATTCGTCTGCTAACACTTATGTAATGTTTGTACTCATTGCCGTTCGTGCGATTTCGACTGTTAACGATGTCCCATACTGTATTTGTGGATATTAATCACGGGTTTCCCAATTGCAAACAATTGCAAAAGGGTGTTGGAACAATACAAGGACATATGTCTCAGAGTCGTGGGACTATTAGTCAGAGACCTATCGATATGTGCGAGGGAATGAGTAAGCTTGATGATACAGAGGCTGGCCTCTTAACCCCGAAGGTTGGCGCTTTCATCTCGTTGGCGTGATATATATATATATATATACAAATGACTGTATTACATTGGAGCGGAGGTTATCGAATGTCAAGGTTGAATTATGCTTTACCTATCTCAGTTAGCAGGTGAGATAATATGTAGTACTATACAGTGTATGTATCTGTGTTGAAGCTTCTGTGTGTATTGATCAGGTGAAAACCAGAACACTTCGCTGTCCATTTCGTTATTGATATGTAAACAATCATAATAAGGATTTATTAAGCGGGGTTCATTTGGTGCTAGCATACTCCACAATAACAGAGCCGTTATCGACACGATAGAGGAGCTCTGGGTTTTCCCAATATTTTTGCGCTGTTTGTTAGAATTTGACGAGTATGAACTACTATGAACTCTTCTCTGGCCGACTTCTATGCGTGCTGCAGGAGATAGTGACGTACAGTAACTGATCGTTATATAACGTTTAGCATCAGAGTTCGCATATATTATCAACACTTGTTCCCCAGGCGGTAACAAGAACGACGGGGCTTACACCACGTGCACGCGTGTACGTCTATACGTCTTTGGGGGACATAGAAACACATGTATGACGTATAATTATTAGAGTCAGGAAATCGTGCCAATGAAAACGGTAAACGTGATGATTTTATTTCTTCAAAACTTCGTCTATTCGTCTCTGACTAAAGATATATTTACCTGGTAATGATCTATGGGTCATTGGTGAATCATTTGTGTTTGATACCACTGATCTGCTCACGATATCAAAATTATATGCGGATTTCATTATTTTAGGTTGGAGGGATGGGGGGAAAGCACATTTTTAAACTGAAAAAGTCCTTCTACCATATTTTGTCTAGGACACCGATTCTGCCCTGTAAGGACCATGGGGGTAACGTTTGCTATGTTTAAATTTTCAAAATCTGATTCCCAGAATTTCATTAAAGTTCCAAAATACCCAACATTCATCAAAATATCATTTATTTATATCTATTTAGCTTAACTAAGAAATACTCAACACGATATCGTGCCTTGTGATATAAAACTCGATATTCGATTTTTGTAAACATTCCTCCATTTACGACCTTTGCCGAACAGCTGTCAGAAAATCTTTCAGACATTTCTGTGAGAAGTCAGTATCTTCTATAAACACGTTTACGCCTTATTCACGCAACGTAGCGAGTCCTCGAATAGCTATTACACACTTGCAATCTACTTATAATATGACGTCACGAAAACCGTGAAGCACCTGCGTCATCGTGCTTTACATGTCATTGCGCTTACTACACCTGTACATTTGAGTTTACAATTTGGTCACGTTTTTTTCATGATTGCCTTACGAATTTCGTATAAGATCGGTTTGTATTTCAGGAGGGACCAACTTTGACTAATTTTCGTTTGTTTTTACATCCGCAGATAGCCTTTCTTAATAGGTACTACTCAGTATGTTTTAATCCTATAAATCATCAAGTGGAATTTTTTCCGAAAATCTTCGAGATCGCATGAATTTGCCACATGTGCCACGTGTATTGAGGTTTTAATATTCAGAAACAATGTCCCCAGTTCGCGTGAGCTGTATGTGCCGTAGACCTTACAGTCATGTGTGATTACGAAATTACAGTTATTCATTCTTGCAAAAACTTGGTCTCGTGACCAATTTTATGGCGGGGGCGCGTGCCAGATGTGCCTCCTGTGGATCCACCTGTGACATCGTTATATACGTACATCATTTAGCTATATCCTCAACGGTCACTGCCTTCACTTTGTCTTACTTTCTATTGATAGTACAGAAATCCCTCAAATGACTGGTTACTTTTCAATGTCAAAGCATTAGATAAAGCAGACAGTCACGATATTGTTTTAGGTTTTACGACAATCGCCATATTTCTCATACCATTTATGTAGGTCACTACAAATGTGACGTCAGTACGGAGAAGACACCTGTTAGCGGGGAAAAGTGCAATATTTACCAGAAGCATTCATATCCTCTCTTTCACAAGTATAGAAGTTTTGTCATAAAAGTCATTGGACTAAAGATAGTTTCAATTGATCTGAATTCCGCAATGGTTCAAGGTCATCTTATGGTCAACGTCACGCGAAAGATTTCTCGGTTAGCGTCGTGTGGCGTATATCTCATTTCTACTCCATAGATAATCTGAGTAAATATATCCTTTCAAGTGAAATTTGAAACCGCTTCATTCGTTTGCATGACGTCAAATGTTAACACG